ATTTAGATTTTATCATCACCTCTTCCTAGATTCATACTTTAGACGAAATATGCTTTTTAAATTGTCTCCGTGGTTGTAAAAGGAAAATCAAAAAGTGAATGATTCAAGTATATACATGTACATGTTGGCATTCGCACTACAACGCGCACGTATGGGATATGGTACTCCATCTATATTATTGTCTGGAGCATTACTTGAAAAGAATCGAAAGGCAACTTAAAATATGAAAAGATGTTTACTTAAATTTGCAGCGTTCATCTGGGTAGCTATCTCCTTTTTTGTTGAATTTTTCACTTCTGTTCTGTTTTAAGCAAAATTCTAGGATTATACAAGTACATGTAATTGATTTCAGAGTACAAATTTAACACGAATTAAGATTAATACAGATTTGGAAATCACATAGCCCAGAAAAAGGCATGTCCGATTTTTAATTCATCAGTCAGCAAGTCTGCTTCGTGTTCTCTTATCATCATATACTGAGTGAAGAATGACAGAATCTCGCCTTCACAACTCACATCGTAAGCACAATTGTTTCAATTTCTAGTGTTATTATTGTGCGCTAGATAGGTAGATAGTTTTATTTTCTAGTGATTTTGATTTCTTACTGCCGGATTTGTAGCTTTTTACCGTTTTTGTCGTTTTCTAAACGAAATCCATTTTTATGTATTAAGAAAGAACGCGGATGTGTTGAATAGGGCCAATTCTTAATGAATAGCTGACCTCAATTACATAAAAAGGAAGAGCAACATGTCAGTTTATAGTAGGAGATCTATTGTTCCAATGTAATGTATTGAACATTACTAGAATAATACTAGCATTACATAACAATTAATATAATACCACTAGCCACTTGTTTAACATTGACAATGTGTGGAATTTAACTGAAGTGTTTTTACAATCAAATATCAGGGCGATATTAATTTTTATGTACAGAAAATTTTGATTTTTACGGCGTTTGCAACTATTAGTGTTAAGCATTTATACTGCGATATATAATGGCACCAAACTAAGTAACTATCAATCTACTAATGCTTAAGATGATTGATTCTGATGTTAAAATCATAGTTAAAGTGTACTTTAATTCTAATTAATCACGCTTACCAACATTGTAGCTTAAAATTTAGTATGTTTCATTTGTAAAACTTTACTAAACAAACACAATATGGTGTTAATAAAGAGTTGATATATTACAGTTAGCATTATATACAATTTCTATTGCAGTTGAAAAACAACACAATACACATAAGCCAGGAAGATATAAAGCCACTGATTGCGAAAAGAAAGCACGCTTTAGCGGAACTTGATGACAGAACAGCCGAATCCTTGCGCAAACTCGACGAGAAAGCATTTGATGTACTACATAAACTAGAGCAAGATGTTGACGACTTGAAACGTGCCGCTTTAACTGATGTTGAAAACGCTGGGACATCGACAAAGCAAAATATTTATGTAGAGAAACATGATGCAATATTTGACATTATCAGAGCAAGGGAACAAGCAAAGCAAAACATCTCCGATAATGCCACTGCAGGTGTATCTGACATAAACAAAGCCACTGAACAGGCAAAACAAGATATTTCACAGAAAGCTAACACAACTCGGAAACAGGCAAAACAAGACATTTCGGAGAAAGCTAATGATGGTATATCTGACATAAATACAGCTAAGGAACAAGCAACACAGGAGATCTATGAGAAAGCTACTGGTGGTGTTTGTGATATCAACACAGCTCGAGAACTAGCAAAACAAGACATTTCCTTCAAGGGTTCTGATGTTTTGTCTGACATAAACAGAGCTAGGGAACAGGCAAACCAAGACATTTATGAAAAAGGTACTGGTAGTGTGTGTGAGCTCAACAGAGCCCGGGAACAGGCAAAACAAGACATTGTTTTGAGTGCTACTGATGGTTTATCTGACATAAAAATGGCCCGGGAACAGGCCAAACAAGATGTGTCTTTAAAAGTTATCAATGGTATATCCGACATAAACACAGTCCGGGAACAATCAAAAGAATACATTGCTGGAAAGACCAATGATGGATTAAATAAAGTAAGCAATGCAGAGACAGAGGCAATTCAACATATTGCTAGACAAGCCACTGACACTATGTCTGAAGTAAAACAGGATATTGACATGCAAAAATGTGAAGTCATGTCTGATATTCGCATCGCTGGGGCACGGGTGAAACAAGACGTTTTAACTGCCTTCAGCAAGGCAGAAACAGACACACAAGGCAATCATTTAGGTCGCACCAATGATGCCAGGTTTGATAAAAGCGAGGGCGTTATTTTAAAGGAATCCCTTTTCCAAAGAGGTTTTCGGCGTGTTAGAAATGTGTTCAGTTCTTCAAAATCAAAGCCGCACTTAAAGGTTTGTTTTTGTATAAATCATTAAAACCGCTTTGTTCTGAAGTTAAAGAAAATATCCATTGTGTTAGATTTATTTTTAATGCACATTATCTCAAGTAATAATTAAACACAATTAAGTGTATTGTCTATTAGAAGCATTGAGTTGATTTCTAACTAAAAACGGGAAAATATCGTTGTACATGTTGAAATGTATATGTAGCTAAAATGAAATGTCATTTCAGAAATATTATAGTACATTATTCTACATTTAAGTAATGATTTATTAATGATAAATTAATAACAGTGATGTGATGATATAACCAAACACGAACGGCAAATAGTCAAGAAACGTCAGAAATACATTAAAAGTCACACGTCTGTCACAGTTTGAAGATAAACTCGTTCATCACTACAGCAAATAAAATATTTCGTGAACACTCGATACCCACATATTTCAACTTTACTTAAACAGTTTTTGCGCTCACCATAATAATATTCATTGCAAACAGAAGTTATGTATAGTCGTAGAAAAATGGATTTTGTTTGTCTTCGTCTGCTTTACAAATAGAGTGGCAAATCCCTTTTGAAATGAGATAAATTTTTGCTATTAATTATATTTATTTTATTCAATGTGGTCATATGTCTTTCTGATATTTGTGTGTTTATGTCTATCATGAAATTTCTTTTGGTGAGCCATAATAACTAATATTGATTATTAATCCAAATTATCACTGAATTAATATTTTCTCAATGATACTCGTGTGTCAGCTATTCCATTTATATTCATTTAATTTTTCTATTTTGCATAAAATAAGTTAATAATTTTTTTATTATTATTATGTCTTAAATTTTCGCAGGTAGTACCGAAGCGATCCAGAGGATCATCATTCAGAGTTTCAGGTAATGAAATTCTTTTATCATAGTTTAAGTTAAAAGGCTGGAGAAAGTGTGATTCCTCGGATGCATAAAAACTGTATAGCTACATGATAATTGCAGACTCGGTTTGATTGAGTCGGTACATGAGGGCTATTGAAAAAGCGGAGCATCCGTCACGCCCCCTAACACCGGCTTGAGCGGTACTCAATTTTCAATGCTAAAAGTGATAGAATCAATGATCCCGAAAGACCAGAAAATATAAGAAGCCATACTTGTCGGCTATTTTTAACCTTAAGGAAAGTTTATCTTAAGTGATTATTTTAAAGATGTGTTCTTCTGTTTCTTAAGTTAAAACATAGTCGACGAATATGGCTGCTTTACTTCAGTGTTGTTGTATTTTTCTGCCCCTTAGGGATCATAGATTCAAGCACGTTTATGCTTAGGCCGATGCTGGGGGCGTGAGAGTAGATTCACGTTTTCATGACTTTAAAAAAAACTGAGTCTGCAATTGTTATATTATTTTGTTTTCTGTGCTTCCGAGGATCACCTTTTTTCCACAATAACTTTTAATTGTTTCCTGCATATTCTTATCTTTTTCTATCTTAGTAAGATTTTACTTTATATTTGCAAGATCTTTAATTTCTATTTCCATTATTTTATTCTGTTTTCATTTTTATGGTTTAAAAAAATCATATAATAATGTATTTTTGTCTGTTTTTTGAAAATCCCATAATTACAGATATATATAAAAAATATGTGAAATGTCTTTTTTAAAGAACTTAAAGATGAACTAATTAGATGGTACAACACAAATCACAGTACAGTTCCTCTTTCACCACTCACAGATGATTGCGATACTCCTGTAGCTGGGTTCTACATTTTGCCAGAAATTGACGTACACACACATCTCCCAGGCGGCAGGAAAGAAACAACTAGAGTCGCGTCGTTACATGACCTGTTTATATCCGATGTCAATGTTCCCCGGGAAATATATTTATCAGCAGTAGCTGGATTTGGAAAAACGGCATTTTCTAAATACCTTACCATAGCGTGGTGCCAAGCCCATCAAAATAATGAAAACTATGTTTATTTTGAAGAAGAAGTAGTAAATGCTTTATCTGACTTTAGCTTTTTATTTCTGGTGTTCTTGAGAGATTCAACTGAGGTTTGTGATGTCGATGACATGATCGAACAACAAGTCATACAAAATCTTCCTTGTTCAAACAAAATGCCAAAAGGTCTTTTAAAGGACCTTTTACGTGATGAAAAATGCCTTGTTATATTGGATGGACTAGATGAATGGACTCATCCTGACAATGATTGTACAAGAATACCGAAAAGCATTCCTCATCGATATGCACGAGAAAAATGTGTAATCTTAACAACAACCAGGCCATGGAAGCTTGGAGTCTCCAACTTGAAGACAAGTCAAATAGATAAAACAATAGAGTTAGTTGAATTCAACAAATACTATTCGAGGCAGTTTAAGATAAACGCTATAAAAATGTTGATAGGCAACATTAAAGAGGATAAACTTAGAAATAAGGTAAGCAGATTTGAAGAGCATATCAGAGACAATGACCTTAAAGAGATGGAATCTACTCCTCTTCTTTTACTCTATCTTATATGTTTATGGCTCGGAAACGTTCCAATTGGAAATTCCACAGTTGGGCTGTATACAGGCATCATTCAGCTTCTTCTTTCTAGAACAGAAAAAATACATGGCCAGTTTCATTCTTCCTGTTTAACGTTTTCAAGTAACGTCCCTGATTGCTTCAAAAACTATAAACATTGCTCTGGCTACTACATGTTTCTGGTGAGTTTAGGAAAACTAGCTTTTCACACATTATTAAGTAACAAAAAGGAGAACTCTCTGGTTTTTGATAATGATGTTGCTGAAAAATATCTGAACCAAGAAGATTTGAAATTAAGCAGTTTATCGGGAATTTTATCAGTAAATAAAGTAAAAACGTTGGTTAATGAGAATTTTAGAATCTCATTTGCACATAAAACGGTACAAGAATATTTTTTAGCTATTTATGTATGTTTTCAAAACACAAGTGAAGGTCAGGAAATGATCTTGAAAGAATGCCATTGTTTACAAAATATTCTAGACATGTCGAAAGTATTTGTCTTTATCAGTAATATGAACCCTAAATTAATGTCTGCAATATCAAGCGAGTTGATGTCTGTGATAAATGATGATGAGAAAACAAACATTTACAGAACTATGACAGAATATCATTACGTGTATTCTGATCCATTACAAGACATACAAGACATGTATATTTCATGTGCTAAAGAATGTCAAGGAAACGAAGACCTCAAATTGTGTCTACAAGATTTCTTTATTGATGGAAAATGTCTACAAGTAAACTACTTCATTCAGTTGCAACATCTGTGTCAACAAAATAAAGGAAAAATAAAATCAGTTATGATTCACAACAAAGGTATTTGCAGTGTACAAGAAATTTGCAGTTTGTTCGAACTCTCTTATCTTCAAAATGTAGAGAAATTATGGTATAGGGGAGACATTCTAGAAGAGGAAATGATAAGCTTGATTTTGCACCCTTTAAAATGTATATCTGTATTATCTAGTAAATGGAAATATGATACATTTAAACACAATCTTTGCCCTCTATCTGGGGAGCTATATAGACGACTGGTAAAATTACCGCACCTGGAGTGTTTAAATCTATACTGTTTTACTATGACCCACGAGGTAATGGAGACATTGTTAAATTTCCTCACTAGTAAAAAATCAATGACACATATTGAATTAAGTCAGCTGTACTGTAGTGATCACGAGAATACTTCATGCAGGGGCTTTAACATTGACCTGTCACAACATTTACATCTGAAAGGTTTAGGATTGGACAGTATCCCCGTGTCACAGTTTAAAATGAATGTATCGTTGTTAGAGAAATGTACTGTAGGTAACTTATATGAACCTGGCGTTGTGTCATCTTATCTCAGCAAACTCCCAGCAGCAAATAAACTACAAGTATTTAGGTGTTTCTCTTTGAAATCTTCAAGTCACATTGATACAATGTTACTCAAATTGCCCTTGTTACTTTATGTGAAAGATGTCTGGTTGGCAGGAATAAATCTTGATAAAAGATCAATAACACTGTCACCTGAAATGCGCAATTTAAAACTAGTGTTTTTAGATGGTTTTACAATGTCTTGTTCAGTGTTATATGATCTGCTTAAAGTTATAAACAGACTACCACAATCTGTAACAATAAGGATAGATGGTTGTTATATAAAAACAGAAAGAGAATTTCAAAGATTCAGAAGATTTGTCAAACTTTCGGACAAATTTCTTATCAACCATGATGGCACCACGAAGTCTCGAATGTACGGGTTTGAGTTTAAAACAGCTAAGTTGAAATAAAAAAGCGTGTAGAAACAATTTATTACATAAATAGTGACAATAGTGACGGATTATTTTAAAAAAATAAAAGGTTTGTGTTCAATTTCGATGGCACCAATAGGTCTTAAAGGGTACCACTTATTTTGTAAAAACTTGGTTTGAGTTGAAAACAAGAACAAACTTGAAATTAAATATAAAGCATGTACGAGTATTTTCCTATTACAGAAATGTATTAAAATCTTGGAAATCCTTATTGCAATTGTTGTATTTGAATAAAAGAATATAAAGCTATGTTTTGAATCTGCAATTCTTCTTTATTATTTGACAAGTTCAATTTTTTTCTTGAAATATCTGCCAGGTTTTAAATGAGACTATAATTCATACTGTGTTACCTGTCGTGTTGTCAAATTAATGTATAGAATGGTCATCCCCATTTATTTTTTTTAAATTTTTATTTTATTTTAGTTTTGTTGCCTAGGATCATTACTCTTATTTACATAAATACCTCTTTCGTTTTTGGGGAGGATAGTTGAGTTTCTATATAATGGCGACCCATGAATCAATAACTAATGAACAATTATAGCTTTCAACTTGAAAAAGGCCTATTTTGTTTTTGGCGCCAAAGATGAAGGTAAATATGTCATGGAATACGAAAAGTGTTTCGTTTTGATAAGTTAAGAAAAAATGTTCCCACATCCTTCAAACTTAAAAAAACTATTAAAGAAAACAAAAGACGTAATCCGAGATATAATGTTTTATATTTATGTTTCTGCGCCCGCAGATATGCTACCGTGTTTTTGGCTAATACATATCAACATCAAAACGTTCGATAATTCTTTTGCTATACGGGACTGGCATCCCCTTATACTAAACATGTATCCTCGTAGCAGTATTTGGCAGGAGTGTTCTTCTTAAGTGGATAAATAAACTATTCCTACTTGCATGATATAAATGAACTACAAATATGCAGTTATTTGTAAAGGATTATAGAATGGAGTGAATATGGTGATATTTAATGTGTGCACACTTATAGGTGTTACGCTAGAAATTACTTTGATGTTGTTTGTCTAGATTAGTATATCAAATGTTGAATGTTGAGCTGAATGTCAATTTTTATGCTCAACATGGGAAATATTAAATGTCTAGCAATGTTGACAGCCTTTTTTGGATACCTTTGATGTTGAGTTGATGTTGTTTAGCTTTCAATATTAAAACTGGATATATATAACTAATTGTCACTGCGGTATACCGTACCCCGGATATTGCTCGATATAATGAGGACTTTCATTCCATTTCGCGACTTTTAACGAGGAAAGAAGGTAAGTTCAGTGACGATATTTAGTAATTTTGAATTGGTTTGATATAAATTTTTTAGAAAAACAAATACTTCGATATTTTTCCTAGTTACTGAAAACCCAAACATATTGAAAAATAGCTTTGAAAGGTAATTAGGAGGTAAAATTCGTCTCTTTGCTCACGTGATAAATGAGCTCGGATCAGTCAAATTTGATGTTTTTGTGCATATACCTCCTTAAAAGAAACAATTGAATCGAGTGAAATGTGATAATGATGATAATATTTATGTTGTAAATGTTCAATCAACAATAGAACCTCAGATGACAGTGCATTTTGAGAATAAATACACATGTCAGTGTACCGAGTATTGCGTTGGATATACCCGCCGGTGTCACGAGTATATGTCCAGAATAGGCAGAGTTCGGGGTACTTTACTGGTCTGCGAATAATCCAGATTTTCATTCCTGCTCATGAAAAACCTCAGTCGAACAAACTCAGCAATTTTCTGTGTTTACAAAGTTCTCGTTGCTATCGAAGGATCAATCTGTCCAGAATTTGTTAATGATTATTGCATATCTTACTTTAAGTAGTAAAAAATGCATCCAAGGTGCATTAATGCTGCCTCAAGATTGTCAATAGTAGACGGTATTGAGCAAGCGTTTGTCACGGTTCAGAACTGTTCACTAATTCCCCGGACCCTTGGAATACCGTATCGCAGCTCTATCGACTGAGCTATCCGGCCGCTTACACATTATCACCCCGAAATAGTGAACAGTTCTGAACCGTGACATGTGCTAATATCTAATATCAACCGACTTCCTACTATGCCAAAAATCCATATAAAGGTAACTTTCTGTCATTTTGCACCTGCACTCTAGCAACGGCAGACCGTCTGCACGTGAAATTTGTTACGTCATTAGCAATCAGTTACCGTATGGCTGCCGAGCGGGTACGGCTTAAAAAACCCGAATAATGGATTTTAATAAGATTATGATAAAGGGCAGCAGATGCAATAAAAAGGTTTTGTTCCTTATAACCTTTCATGTCATAAAGGCGTGTTTTGAAGGCTTTACCCCCACTCCTTTTGAGGCCTCAAATAGTGTAAAACATGCGCTATTTAGGCCCAAAACACTGGTTTTTTCGTTTGAAAAATGTTGTTCAAAAGAGTGATCACTTTTTCGGCGCCCCCTGCCCCCCCCCCTTTAAAGAGGTACATCAAGAATTTGCCAAAGGGGGATGTGTCCCCTTCTGTTTGAGGGTTTGAAGTGGGGCAGTAGAGAGAGAATTTGGGACTTGTGGGGGGCTAAAATGGCCTCAGGTCGATTTAAAGGTACCATGTTATCAACGCCGAAAAGCCTTATACTTTATCTCAATCAATTGAGAAGTTGCTGCACCTTGAAATCAGTTTTTTTATGGAAAAAAAAAACAACGCAAAATAGAGATTTTGGCAATTTTGAGACGTCCCCCCGTTGCCATGGTAACTGGCATGCTGTTCCACAGGCTATGGTCCAGCCAACATCTGTGCCCAGTTTGATCAGTATTGGAATATTTTTATAGTTTCATAGCAGTTTGAACTTGTAACAGGAGTCTTAATTCAATGAAAACAGCCATTTTTTGCTTTGCAATATGCTTTCGCAGTAAAATGTTAAGACGATACCGACATGCTTGGACGGCATAAGCCCGCGGGCCAATATTTTACTAAGTGTGTCGATATGTTTCTTAAGGCAAACTTGCCCTGTAAAAACCTATTATTAATGTCATCTAAATATGTTTTTTATTCTACTTCTTTTCAGAGATGGGTCTCCTTGATCACAGTTTCTTGAGCATGTATTTAAAGATTTTTATCGTCAATTTTGATGGTTCTACCCTGCTCCCGACCCTGCTTCCGACCCTGTACACACTTTATTTCATCCATAGTGTGATTTTCAATCAAATGGGAAATATAATCTCTGTATTTGCCCGTAGAAAAAGAACAGTAATAACACTGAAAATGCATTGTTAAATCTGAAATATTTGAATAAATATCATATAAACAATATATTATCATCAAAATAAAATGGGATCGATAAACAGACGTAAAAATAGACAAAAATATCGATTTTCAATACTAATGTGCTCATTCTGTTTTGCAATACACTGTACACTTAAGTTGGGCTATTTTGCAATACTCTGTACACTTAAAATCAATACTCGGTACACTTTCTTGTATCTTTTTTGGCCTGTATCTTTTTGTCCTTTCACACTTTTTGCCTGAAATTTGGACAAAGCATACTTGGATTGTGAATAAAAAAATTGCTCGATTCATTCTTTTTTATATTGGTAACATAATAATTTCTAACGATTCTACAGTATCGCGGTCAGTATTTTCTAGTGAACAGCGGATCGTTTAGGGGTAGTTTAATCAATTTTACAAATACCTGTTATACTTTTATGTCTTTTAGAGCTACAAATATACCTCTAGATATATAAAACCCGTTTAGATAAATGAAATAGCCATTAGTTTGGAAAATATCGTCGCTGAACTTACCTTAGATCCCCGTTCAAAGTCGCGAAATGGGATGAAAGTCCTCATAATATGGAGCAATATCCGGGGTACGATATACCGCAGTGATTGTTGTAGGTGAAACTTCGCATTGCAATAATATTGAATGCTTACTAATACCGGATGTACATGCTGAGCTTTATCTAGCTCAAACATTCGTTTTGTAATTCTATTAAAAACTGAGGAATATTAAATGTTAAGCTGGATGTTAATTGCCTATCTCAAAAATTGAAATTATGAATATTTATGAAATGTATTAACACACTCAACACTCGACTTTAAAATCAACGGGTCTGACAGCCTCCTCATGTAAAACAGTGGAAGTCAAATGCTTACCAATGGTATAGACTGAATTCAATAAATGTCAAAAAAAGTTAACTATTAAGATTTTTGTGAATAAATTTTAAGGCAGTATTTGGTGTAGAAATGTAATTGGTGTTCAAAGACACATTTGAATTTTGAACATTTTAGAATTATTAGAAACATACAATTTTAACTCTCTTAAAAACCTTGGTGAAAAATATTGAGATGACAATTATAGCATATTGGCGTACAAATATTAACAGTGAAGTTGGTCATTCGGTGCGTGATAGAAACAAGTTGAGAACCTATAGACTGTATGAAACAAGTTATGAAACTGAAGAAATGTTAAGATGTTTTGTGTTTTTATCAAAAAGTTATAGATCTTGCCTTGGCGAATTTCGATGTGGCTTGCTCCAATAAGGCTAGAAAATGGAAGGAAAGAAAATATTCCAGAGTATTCACGATAATGTTCAAAATGTAAATTGATAACCGAATATGAGATTCACGTACTTCTTCAATGTTCTGTATAAACACATTTTTAGGCTTAAATTATCCACAAAAGTGATAGAAATAGATGGAAATTTAGTAATTTCAAACATTTCAACAAGGTAATATTCATATATGTCCTCTCCAACAAAGAAATTGACCAGGAGTTCGCAAAACCTGTCATGAAATACTAAAAGTAAAACAAAAGATGGATATACCAGTACAGTCGACTCTCGTTATCTCGAAGTCATCGGGACCGTCGAAAAATATCGAGATAACGAAATGTCGAGATAAACATATTAGGGTTTGAGACATGTGCATACCTTATGTAAATTAAACTATGATATCCCCATGTCTTGATCTCATAGGCCTAGTCATTTTTAACAAAGTAACATTAGCGGATGTTTACCAGCGGGAATACGGGTGTCTGTGATAAAAACACATAGTAAGGTTTACTCAGTAATACATCAATATAGTGAAAACATTGTTTTCAGGGTGGTTGATCCGGATATCCTCTCGGGTCTTTCTCGAGATTGTTCGACCGCTGATTGATTTGGTGGTGATGTTGTGAAACAATATTGCAACGATGGCAACGTTTCTATACTTTCACTATTTCATTTACATTTAAAGTCATAATGAATTGATACAGCGTTCGAATATTTATAAAGAACATAAAATTCACTCATTTTAGACATAAGTCAATCAACACGCTAAATAGATTAACTTGTATAAAAAAAAACAGCTCAACTTGTTACAAACATAATCATCATTATGACACGCGCTATTGAGCAATTATCGTCTAGTTTGTGTCTTTCACACGTCTGAAGGGAACAGAGGAAGAAAACTATTAGTCGAGATAAACAAAGGATAATGGTGTAAAAATAACTGTTGGGGCTGAAATTTTACATCGAGATACTAAAAATAATAAGATTTAAATTTAATTTTTAGTCTTTAGTCATTCTTTTTATATATTATTTTATCGACATACGTTTCATTACATTTTACACGAAGATTGACAGGTATATTTATTTTAAATGCCATTATGCTGGTAGTACATCCCACGATAGTTGTTACAATCATTACATTATAAGGTATCATCTGTCGAGTTACAGTGATCTTAATAAAACAATAACTACTTTCGAGGTAAACACTATTTAATTAGTTCATACCATACTATCTCTAAATCAGGCAATTTCAGTTACACCCTATATAGTTAGAGCATTATTTCTTGCATATCAGATATGATTATCTACCGTTTACACTGATGCTAGAAAACCTGTCTTACAATCCCCATGTAAGACATGTCGACTGTTTTAGATAACGTCATTCCAATGCGCCTTTTATGAATGAATTGCGTTTCTTAGGATTAACATATTGTGCCGTTATGAATGAAGATGTGAATTAGTTTCGTAATTTCTTTTTTGTAAAATCAATAATTTGTAATATGTAAGAGAAAAGAATCAAACATCTGCTGCCGTTACATACCAGAATATCTAGCTCTCGGGTAACTGTTTAGAGGAAACTCAGCAGAACCTCGTTACCAACGTAAACAGTTATCTTCGTGCTTGATATTCTGGTCTGTACCGACAGCACGAGTAAGATTCTTATGATGTCGTATTACAAAGTTCTTTTTCATTTTACCTCATAGCCTTCCTTACTGCGAACATGTATATGTGTGTTTTAACCTGAATACAAATACACATTTTTGCAAATACAACGAGAGCTCAGAGCTAAATATATATGGTTTACATTAAGTAGAACGACAAACATAAACATGGATGAAACGTGTATTGATATTGAAATGAATCAAAGCATCAATAGATTCTCCAGGATTGTATGAATAAGTCAATAGAAAAACACCAATGAATGTCCTGTAGCTGAAATCAGAAACTTTGGTCCAGTGACGAAATCATCAATATTTAAAAGTTTACTCCTAGATTTTAATCATTTTAAATTTTAAACATTTTTTTCAATCTTCTTGTTCTTGTTTATTTCTAGTTTGAAACAGTAAACATTAGAAACATAAATACATCTAGGCGATATATATAAGATAGGTGCAAGTTTGAAGGTTTAAGCAAATATACCGAAGAAATAGCTTTTATCAAAGTATAGTGAAAGTTAAGAAAAGCGGACCATGAGAATATCGGAACTCTCTAAATACCGAAAGTAAATTTACCCTCGGTCAGAAAGCCATCAGGTTTTCTCAACTCCACTGTATCATTTAAAACTTGAAATGAGTTTACTTTTAATTTAATGAAATGTCACGTATCTGTCTGAACGGATATGCGCACTCATACCAGATATAAGCATTGAATTAACTGTAATGTTAAAATCTGAACCTCGAATCAAAATATCCGGAATATCCACGCATGCGCGTGAGAGTAGATATGGCGGGACGTCAAGCGCTTCTATCGTATACGTATAAAATTCCGAAACTGCCTTGTATTTCTCTAAAGCATCATGCACTTCAAACAGAGCCTTATAAATATGCCACTGTGGAAACTTAAATTCATTGTCATGGATGTTGTGTTTAAACTGAATGAGTCCCCAACGATGTTGTAAATGCATGTTGAAGGCATCGCATGGCTGCCAAGACCACCACTTCCAGTAAAACGATGGCCCTTTTTCATATTTTCCATTTCTCACAGTTATATTTGGTTGGGACCTCCCTAGCATAGTAGGCCATACTTCATCTTCTATTGGTGCATCATGCACGCGTTGTGAACCTTCCGAGAGTCTCTGAAAGGGTAAGGCCATTTCAACTGACCAGAATTTATCAATATCACCAGGCGTGTTTAGTGTTCCTTCGAAATGTACAGAATAATTGGACGTTGAATTCCATGACAGGTCCGACGCACTCTCAAAGCTAGTCTCATATGGCGATTTAAACATAAGAAGGTCTAGTATTGTTCCTAAAACATTGATATCGATTTGCTTATAGTTAAAAGAAAACCCATCAATACCAAGAAGAATTTCTAAACTGTTTTCACTGTATATTGCTGAATCGTGTACGTCATTTGTTGCCCACAGATTATTTTCTTGCAGGTATACACCAATATATAAATTATCGTTGTCCCATCTCATTTTAAACTTTGTATCATAGATTGGTTTTCCGTATATGGTACTTCTTATGTCTGCAAATGGTTCACTCCATGGGACCTGTGCAAATGATATGTCATTTAAATTTCTTTAACTAAATTGTTATGAACCTATTGCTTTACAAATATTTTGTGTTCTTGAAACATAAAATTGTTTGACAGACTTTTAAGCAGCTAAAGCTTGTATTCAGTGTAAAATAAATCGATCCTTTCCAAATGAGAAATGAATATGTTAACATCAAACGTTTTACAGCAGCATTATCAGTTATTTATCCGTTATAGAGTACAAAGATACACAGAAATAGTAGCAGTTTACTTATTAAATGAATGAGTCGTGAGTTTTATGAAGAAGTGTCGCCTTGTTTTACTTAATTAAGCAGAGATAATAAACCTTTTTTGTTTAATTGGTTTCACGAAGCATATGGCGGTGAAACAGGAAAGATGAGTTTGTCTAACAACGGGTGTTACAAACTTCAAAGCAACAAAAGAGGTCTGAACCACCTCATCAGCTGGAGCTAAGACATGCATAGTATCCATTTAGGCGCCTCTTACGATCACGTGCGGTTAAACGGTGGCTTTTGTTATGCCTCAACAATTGAAACCCTTAGCCACAGGGGGCGATAAATGTGAATTATGTGAAAGTGCATAATATTTAAATTCTTAACATAAAAGCCCCTTATTGCTTTGCAAAATAAAGTAGTTAATTGTATTGTTATTTAACCTATTTTGTATAGAACTCAGTATTTTGAATTAAATTTGTAAGAATAGAATTATACTAGATAATTAAGTACAGTTACATACTTCATTCCAAGCTTCGTCGTCTAGTTTCCCATCTATTTCGATTTTTTTATCATTCAGATGATTTACAAGATATGTTCTTGGAAGTCCATAATTCCAACACTCTTCTGAACTATGTATGCAAGAAAACATCTTATCCTGCCGTTCAAGGAAACGTTCTAGATACACTTTCCCGGTATCAGTTTCAACAGATGTTGCACTGCATGAAGTCCGCATTGCTTCAATAACATTATTCGGAGACTCAATGCCATCAAATATGGTATTAAACTTAATAACCATGTAACCTGTCGTTAAGCCAATTGAAAATGCCACGAATACAATTATTGTGAAAATGACACAGCCTTTCCAAGTTTTTGCCTCATTTTGAAGCAATTTGCAGCAAAGCATTATTCCGACTTTTTGTTGATTTTTAAATTAAGAAAATAACTGAATTACGACATGCCTTGGTCTGCTCCTTAACTGAGCAAAATGATGAAGGGACTTTGTTTAATAATGACCAATTCAATAAAAGATGAAGATAATATTTCATGTAGTACTTCATTTCGTGATAAATTGAAATTATTTTCCTCTATGAGACTTCCTTCTTAATTGTATGACATTGTAAATTGACACATTGATGACAAATTTGCCAGGCAACATCGTCAGCTAGTGTGCGGTTGCCATGCCATTTGGCAAATAATCAGTTACATACTAATAATAATATCATGCTGACCTCACAAAGACACTTTATTTTACTAATATTAAGTTTCAGTCACGTTGATAAATCACATTTTAAAACAATATTTCTCCTAAATTTCATTTCAATGATACCCAGCTAGATCAGTTGTTTTTAATGAACATTTTGAAATATATTTTCCGAGTATATATTCTCTTGTTCGTTACTTGAATGAGTATTATATTCCATATCATTGTAAAATTATATATAGAAACATAAACTTTGTTTTCCATTACAAATAAAACGTTCTAAGTTAATCAGTTATATCAAAGTTCATCGTGGCAGTAAACTTTATGACAAGAAATTAAAGAGCCATCTAGCCTTAACAATGCTATCATTTTTATATTTTAAGAAGAATTTTATTGTTGGTGTCCTGATATCGTTTCTTTCCAAAAATACATCTAAGCCATCTTATGCTCCCTTTGCGTTTTTTTTTTAATTTTTTTATTTATTTTATTTTATTTTATTTATTTTTTTAAGTTTAAAGTGTTTCAGTATTTTGTAGAAGCGAAAAAACCACTTTGTTTACAGTGGGTTAACTTCATCAAAAACTATTTCACATTCAACGCTTTTTTGTTCAGGTGATAAGCATTTCACATGCTCTTAAGTCCTAATTGCAACATCGTTAAACACATGTTTGCTCTATTTGCATAAGGACACCAATTTATTCATTTATGAGGATTAATGTGCCTTGAATGTGGAAAGCTGATCATTTGCATTATTTTGTTAAGAAAATTAACTACCTACCTTATACTGTTGCAACATTAACCAGATCTCTACTTCATTTTGTTTAAATGACGGATTTGTATAATGCGAATTCTGAGTGCCTATGAATACCAAATACGATAGGTTAGTGTGAAAAAAAACTACGTCCTGAACTAACACGAAATACCTTTTGATAAGGTTTTATGCTTCATTCTAACCTTCCTGAGACCATAAATTATTATTCTTTTCTACCAATATATAGTTAGTCTTCGCTTCCGAAGCTCTTTCTGCTGGCAACTTAATTTTCTGGTATATTGATATTAAAATCCTTTAGACTTCGAACTGACTCTTGCAAATTCAAATTTTGACAAGTTCATTATAGAAATAGAGCGGGTAATAAAGTTGTTAAATCAGAATGACATGTAATATCTCTCCAGTATCGAGGAACAACTAAATGCATTTAAATTCTGGCTACGGGATAAAGGTATATTAATTATTTTGAAAAAAACTAAGTAAATTGAAATATTGTTTTCCTTAAAAAAATATCAGTTTTTTTTTCCAAAAAATAGTAAAAAATTCAATTGTAAAAACATTATTATCCGCTTGCATAAAGTACATGATAGAGTGCCTTAAGATTATTTGTAAGTCAATGATTTCATTGAATCAAAATGAAGGATTTAATATACGCTATGTCTTCTCGTTTTAGCGTTTGTAGGTAACTTGTCTAAGACATATTCTAAATATATTAAAAGGGAATTCCTTCCTAAATTACCACATCGTAACAAATTTATCGGATCGTATGTACGCAGGAGGGAAATCAAATACCATAGATCGAACATTTATATCGAAATCAGCTTGACTTCTATTCTCTCTCATACTTATTTCCGGTACATCTACGCATGTGTGAGAAAGCAGATACGGTGGAATGTCTAGTTCCTCCAGAGTACTTGCGTACACGCCATTTTTTGCTTTGAATACCTTCATAGCCTCAAGGACATCGAACAAAGCTTTATAGATGTGCCAATTTTGGAACTCGAATTTTCTATCTGTATTGGTTCTCTTAAATTGCACTAAACCCCAACGGTCTTGTAAGTGTAGATTAATTGCACCACTTGGTTGCCACGCCCACCATTTGCCTGAGATATTTGGTACTATCTCATATTGTCCGTCCTTAGTCAAACGAAGTACATGCTGTGTTCTTGCCAACTGCAAGAACCAAACTTCGTTGTTATTTGGAGCTTGTTCCACACGATTCGTCATAATAGCCAAAGTTTCGAACGGGACTGAAATTTCAACAGACCAGTATTGATCCCTGTCACCAGGTGTGTTAATTGTTCCTGGTGTGTACACGCCAACTGTAGCATTAGAATCCCACTTCAGGTTGTGCACTAATTGCCCTGGAGCATCGTAATATGATTTCTTCATCAATAAGTCCGTTACTGTGCCTAAAACATTAACATCTATTTGCTTGTAGTTGAAAAGACTGTCATCTGCAGCTATAAGTAAACTGAAGCTATTTTCGCTCCATAGCTCGGAGTCGTTTGATGTTTTAGTTGCCCATAAATGATTGTCCTGTAGGACAGCGGCAAAATACAGATTATTGTCATCCCATCTCAATTTGAATTTAGTATCATAGATAGGTTTTGGGTATACTTCACTGCGAATATCGACAAACAACTCGCTCCAAGGTACCTAGAAATAAAATGTCCAGTAAATTATTTGGTCGGTAGTACTTCGCAGCTACGTGAAAATTGAAATTTTCTTTCATTTTTTAGTAATTAATTTAAATCATTTAAAAATTTATTGCGTCAGAATATGCAATGTTTTTCATAATTGTAACAAAATCCGTATATTTTGGTATTTCATTAAAGACTTGCGCAAAGTGTGTCAAAAGCAGTCAGTTATGAAAAGTAATTAAAAATTTATTTCTCTGTTTATACACCACAACCCGCATAAAAACCAATGCCATTGAATTTCTGGAAAGTGCTTAACTTCTATTTTTATTGTATTATTGTACATTGTATGTATTATTTCGCGCCAACATAATTAATCATAAAGTTTTAATTCTATTTGCAGTTTCAACAAATGATAAAAAAGGTTGCTTACAAAAATTAATTTAAAGTATTAACATAACAATTATATACCTCTGTCCATGCATCGTCATCAACTTTCCCGTCAATTAATATTGACTTCATGTCAAGATGATAAGCATTATAATTTCTAGGAAGACCAAATCCCAAACATTCCTTGCGGGAGTTTACACACGCGTGCTTTTTAGAAAGAACGTTCTTTGAATAGCGCGCGTCGAAATTTCTCCCAGCCTGTGTTTGTACTGTAGTAAACTTGCAGGGAGCGTGAGTGCTTCGCCTTTGTCTAGATAGAGAAGCTGTTTCTTTGATTGTATCAACGTTGGTCCTGCTTGTAAAATGTCCCAGCATGATCCCGAGTGCAAATAATCCAAATGCCATTAGCACATGTTTGGCAGTGTGTTTATAAGAGCAAGAATCCATCGCCATAGCATAAAATAGTACAGTGTTTTCTTATAAAAACTTTGTCTTGTCTCTTGTCCTTTTAATAAAACGTTCATGAATGTGTTGGTCAAATTTAATGACAAATTCAAAGTATATGAACTTCTTGACGTTTTGGTCGCGTAAATAATGAATGGCCATTGTTTTGTTTTAAGTTTATTCATAAAAAATGTCAGATTTTATTATGTTGGGAAGGATACAAATATTTGTTGCATAATTAAGTGACGGACTATAAAACAGATTTTACACTAAAAGGCGATTTGATGGTGTTGTCTTGTCTGTATTATATAGTAAATTGTAAGTTGAGTTGAATGACCTTCTTGAACTTGACTCGTAATTAACTGAGCGGTCTGGGCTCAGTTACTTCAGTTGAACCATTTTGTATACTCATTTACAAAACAGACGAGAACATACCAAAAATTATATTTTGTTTAAACAGTATTATACAAGTGCCAAATACAACAACAAAAATACATGGCTGAATAAATGTTACCGCGTATTTTTAGATAGTTAAATGTTATAACGCCTACAAATATTATTTCACGTGGTGACCTAATAAATCTATAATATATTGAGATATGATAAGCGTGTGTCCGCCACACACGTGCAATATTATAAGAAGTATTATTAATTATCTTTTCAATATTAAGCACGTTTTCACTTCAAATGTAAGGCTAATATGATGTTCAGCACGGCATTATGACCATTATGCAAAAAGTACGGCCTTGATGAGAAAACTCGGCTATTATGAGATTTGCGAATTTTGATTGGCTCCTCATCTCGGCCATTATGAATCTGTTTTGTTGTTGTTGTTTTTTGGGGGGGTTTCATTGTAAAAAAGTCGCGATTTCGAATTGCTGCAAAGGAGGGTTTTCGAGACATTTTTAAAACATGAAGCTCATTTGCAATACCTCACAACAACGGAATTTCACATTCGTTATGTTTTGTTCACTGAGGCCGAAGCCAATAACAAGGTCATTATGTAAACACTTAATTATTAACATTATATTAAAAACCGACCAGCGTTATCATTTTATTATACTGCTGTTTTATGCAATGCCGTATTTTAGCTCCGCGGGGCGCCAGGCAAAAACACGAATTTTTTAACGTAAATGAACGTAAAACGAAAGGAGGACGAAATAGTTACTTTGTCGTATTTATGTGTTTTCGCATACTTACATTTCTTCTTTCATACATTACATTTCTTACATTTCTTTCATACTTAAGTATGTTCGTGTGTGCGCCCCGCGGAAAAAAGCTACATGGCACAAATCAGCCACCATACTCATTACTTGTCCGTTTGTCAGCGAAGGTTTTATATTTGTTCTTTTTTACATACATGTATCTAAATATAACATATTTTGACTGTAGTTTTTGCACTGGACCCATTTGAACAGTCATAAAAATTTTAACCATAAAAATACAAAAAAAATATTGTAATTTACGTTCATGTCAAAATTTACATGTACATTATATACATGCAGACCTTACATTGCCTAATATGGCCCACAGTTCACTTTTACATTCCTTTTTTATTCAATAACTTAATGTATACTAGTAACATCAGATCACGAAAATACTATGTATTACTGTGGAGTATTATATATTTTGTAATTAATGTATTAGAACGCCGTCAAATTATTAAAACCAGGCCTGTTCTATGGTATACAGTAGAGCATTGACAGTCTGAATATTAATTCACCTGCTTATGTGCATTTTTTTCCTTCTTCCTTTTTCCATTTTTTCATTGTGTGTCATTTTGATATTCGGATCTAAGTACATTGTAAATAATAAATGGACATTTATAAACTAAAAGGTCAAAACAAATCATATGTTTGGCGGTGAAGTTGTATGACTTTATTTCTAGAGTTTGTATAAATTTAAAACAAGAGGGCCATCATGGCCCTGAAATCGCTCATCTGTCAATAGGCCCCAAGGCCAAGGCCAATTTTAAACCGGGGGCTTTTATTTGAAAAAACTTGGTAGACACCCATTAGAAGATGTTTCATGATATATATCTAAGCTCAAGCTTTTGGGGGTTTTTATAAGAATTTTTTTCAGTCTTTTTTCTATATACATAAAGGGAAAAACAATGACCCCCCTCGGAGGGGCCAAATTTGACCCCAGGGCTTTTATTTGAAAACGCTTGGTAGACACTCATTAGAAGATGTTTCATGATATATATCTAAGCTCTAGCAGTTTTTTGGGGGTTTTATAAGAAGATTTTTTTAAGTTTTTACTATATACATAAAGGGAAAAACAATGACCCCCTCGGAGGGCCAATTTTGACCCCAGGGCTTTTATTTAAACAAACTTGGTAGACACTCACTAGAAGATATTTCATGCTGAGTATCTAAACTCTAGCTCTTTGGGTTTTTTATAAGAAGATTTTTTAAGTTTTTACTATACACATATAAGGAAAATGAATGACCCCAGGGGCGGGGCCAATTTTTACCCACGGGCCCTTATTTGAACAAACTTGGTAGACACCCATTAGAAGATGTTTCATGCTAAATATCTTAGCTCTAGCTCTTTGGGGGTTTTTAAAAGAAAATTTTTCAAGGGGCTGGCCAATTTTTACCGAGGGCGGTTATTTATGCAAACTTTGTAGACACCCACTAGAGGATGTTTCATGCCTAATATCTAAGCTCTAGCTATTTGGGTTCTCTTAAAAGAAGATTTTTTTAAGTTTTTTTACTATATACAAAATAAATGACCCCCGTCCCCCCCGGGGGGGGCGGGACCAATTTTTATACCAAGTCATTTATTTGAACCAACTTGGTAGAAACTGCCTAGATGATGTTTCATGCCAAAAATTTAAGCTCTATCTCTTTCGGTTTTCTAAAAGAAGGTATTTTAAGTTTTTCTTTCTGTTGCCATGGCCAAGTTCTGCTTGGAATAAAGTTCTTTAAACAATTTATAAATTTGACTACCAAAGGGATATTTCTGTGAAGTTTGGATGAAATTGGCTTAGCGGTTTATGAGGAGATGTCATTTAAAGTTAAAGCTTACGGACGGACGACGGACGAAAAGCGATCACAAAAGCTCACCATGTCACTTTGTGTGAGGTGAGCTAAAAAAACTCTTGTTGCTGTAAATGGTTACTAGTACATTTGTGATTGATACCGTGGCTTACGATACGGAATATTGCGTAATGAAATTATTATACTATGTAACCACTACTTACTAGTTCGTAAATTTAAAACACCACTCTTCTCATTCAAGGAATAATTATGTAATACGATTAGCTACTGACAGAAACCAATAAGTGACATTCTCGTCGTCTTGAACTCGAGACAACCAATCAATAGCTAAATTGCAAGTAACCGAATCAGTTCAAAAACGTGTACATTGTTTTCACGATTTCTTACGTAAAATCATTTGCTTATGTTTTTGGGGGATGACAATTTTTTCAAAACATGCTGGTTATACCTGGTTGACAAAGTTTTAACTGAAAGTCCATATCTGCTGAAAGGTAAATCAGAGTTGGTTACATGAGAAACGTCAGAAGATCGGACAGTTAGCAACTCTTACATCTGTGTGATTCCTGACATTGTGAGGGCTATACTTAACGATAAGTTTACGCTTAACTTACTTAAGGTTGTTCTACATGATCAAATATTAATAATGTGAATATGTTGGCCATTGATCTGTAAGCAAATAATACTTGGTGAAAGTTCAGACCGACTAACCGAACAAACTTATAAGATGCTGAAACCGTATATTAAAATCTTTCAAACACACAGAAAGGCAAAAAGTATAATTATTTTTATTTTGATACTTTTATTTTCTAAGAAACATACAATACTAAGCTCTAGGTTTTGCTGTAGGAGTTACGTTGGTGCCCCTAAAAAGTCTCCGTACAAAAAACACTTGTATTCCTGAACACATTATGACGACGACGCATTGACAAATAGACCACGTTTGTATATACGAATTATTGCCAGTAATTAAATACCAGTCTTTTATAACATGCATTCTGCTCTGTGCTTGGTGAACCAAGGCGTCCTTGACGGACTCATGTACATTTTGTATGGACACCTGAAACGAAAAAAAATACAAAGATTTAACGTTTTAGATTACTGATTTGTGCAGCACTTTATGTATTATAGAATTTGCAAGACACTTGGCTGAAGGTTCAGGGTGTTTTTACTCTGTATGACTGATTTCTATATGTTTAATGTTGCCGGCTGTTTGCTAGCGATCAGACGACTCTTAACAAAATTCACTTGTTTTTATCGCGACGTTTTGTCAAAGTCCTTAAATAGTTATAAAGGCGAACACAACAGTTACTGTACAATAGAATCTACTTAAACTGTGCATTCTTTTAAAATATGGCAACAGAAAAATTTAAAGTAGGGTCACTGATCTCGTTTAAGAGTTATCTTCCCTTTATGTAACTGTAGTATACGTATGTAAACTGCGACAAAAACAAAGCCAGAGAAAAGCCACTTTATTGTAAGGGCATTTGAAACAACGGGGGAAAACAGACATGTTTAAAATTACACATATGACAAAACAAAATCGCACTTTGTTAATTTGTAGAGTCTTTTTTCATGCATGCCATTACTTAATTACTAATCGGGCAAAATTAAATCTATCGCACCTTGACATTGTATTATTTGTAAGAAACAAAATGTGTTCATTTAAATAAACCATAAAAACCACATAAACCACATCGGACATCAAAATAAATTGGATAATGTGAAAGTAGAAGAAGACGTTTAAAGGTATTTCTATTTTTAGCTTTAGCGGCCCCTAAAAGAGGCCAATCAAATTAATATGAGCAAAATTGATAAAAAGACTCCCTAAGAATGTTACAGACAAATTTTGGTGATCATCCATCAATTGGCTCTGTAGAAGAAAATGTCTAAAGGTTTTTCTATTTTTAGCTCTAGATACCCCTAAAAGGGGCCAATCAACTTAAAAATGAGCTAGCAAATTTGATACAAGACTACCTAAGAATGCAACAAACAAATTTTGATGATTATCCATCATTTAATTTAGTAGTAGAAGATGTTTAAAGGTGTTTTCTATTTTTAGCTCTGTTGACCCCTAAAAGGGGCCAATTGAAATCGCATGACCAAATTTAATTTGACTGTCACAAGGATGCTACAGACCAAATTTGAGGTAAATCTGCCCAGTAATTTCAGAGGAGAAGACGATTGTTGACGCATGATGACGGACGCCGGGCGCCGGAGTATCACCCTTCGGTTCTAATAAGCTAATAAAAAAACGCTTATTAAAATTTGCTTAGCAGTCGCTGACTCTGTGCTCGTTTGTGTCAAAATGCGCCGCTTCCGGGTCGCTGTACTTGGTCCGTATTCTTTATAAACTAAGATGTCTTTGGAACAACGCATCCCCTGTTTCCCCTACATAAATAAAACGTTCGCAACGCTTACGGAAATGTTAAATATATCAAACGTACCGTAAAATTTGAGACAGTTAGTTCGACTTCTTCTATTTCCTGTCTATATTTAGACCATTCTTCCTCCACATAGGTTACGAGAAAGACATACACCAGCTTGGACGCCATTCGAGACATTGTATTGTCTAAACATATTGCATAAGGACCTGTAAAACATGCGGACAAACAAATAATATTGATGCTGAATACCTTATGTATATAGGTATTTTGTGTAGGAAAAATACTAAAATTTATAATTAATTGTTTGTTACATCTAAAAAAAAGTATCTATTCTGAAAACAACGAAATTGACAAAGCGGTCATTAGTGTGATTTTTTTAAACAATTGAATCATTACATTTAATTTATCTAATATAGGCAAATTTAGTTATTCAATTATATGTTTACTTATTAAATTATATAAGAACAATACGACAAAGGGTGACATAAGATTAAGATTAAGATTATTACAATTTAACATAAGCCTTAAAATACGTCGATATTTACATTCTAGAATTAAGTTAAAAAGAACAAAACTAATTTTATAGTGAAACAAGGTTTTGCTACTGAACAGTCATTATACTATAGCGCTTTTGCCTGGTACGAAATAACAAAACGAGGTTGAATTGGTGATAAAAAAACAAAAGAAATATAAATGAATAAGGTTGAATGATATAAAAGCTCTTTGTAAATCACTGCATACTTTATATCTTTGTTAAATAAATTGCATGTTTAATATCCCTAACTGTACAGGCTTGAAGGAAAACAAGACATTGTTATAAATGAATCAATCAGACTATCATGCATCATCTTCTTAACCACCTCTATAAACTGGGGGCTGCCAAACGCCATCGATTTCCTGTTCCGTCATAGGCCTTCCCTCGGCATAGAGGTTCGTGTCCAACTCGGTAATCCAGCGGGGTCGGGTGCGAGCTTCCTGTAAAACCTGACCGGAAACACCTTTGATAGTAAAGTCAAGGTACTGATCACCACCCCTTAACACCTAAAAAGCCAACATCAAACCATGTACCAATTATCATGCTCCATTACCATAGAAACACACACATATATAAATAATACATGTAAATAAACAGTGCTTTCTTTAAAACATAACTCAATAAATTATTGTAATACATTTACTGGTAAATGCAAAATGACTTGCTGCTTGACGTACTCTTAAATAAGTATTATATGCTACTAGATTCACAAATTTTAAGCATAACTGTTCTTTGTGACATTGACTTCAAATCAGTAAACATGAAAGCTCATTTAGTGTTATCACATTTCCTTATAGTAGAATATATATGTATTAATAAATAATGAGGTGACTATGTACTTACTTATGCAAATTTGAATTTATCTTATATAAAAATTTAGTGTAAAATCAATATTGTTAAAGGCATAAAAGGAGAGTGGAAGTATTGTGTATGAATGTCCTTAATTGCTGGGCATTTACCCTGAAACTGTGAAACACCTGTATATTATTAGTTATTAAGAGTTTTGACAAGTTATATAGCGTTCGAGTTATATTGCAAACAACCATTTATATGCGGCCATATAACCTGTCAAGAATACTTATAACGAATTTATTTAATATATATAGTTTATATAAATGTCACGATTATCCAATCAAAATCAATGTTACAAACGTGTATAATTATAAATTGTAGGAAAACACCGAAAAGAAAAGACGCTGACCAGGAAAAAGGTGGGGCTGTGTTATGAACTGTAACCCATGAGAATACTTCTACAATTAGAAAAAGGCGGGATGAAATACCAGAAAATACCCTGAAAGGCACAAGACGACAGACGGAAAGGCGGGGTTAATGATGGGGCGGAGTGAACTTGTTTTTACCGGTCTGTTCAAATGGTCCATATTGAAATCCCCCACGTGCAATATGATCGGTCTTTTGGAGGATATCGAACTCAGTACCTTCTTCCTTAAGTAAGAATAGGGCTGCGTTACCATCTCCTCCCCGAAGGACCTGAAGTTTATTCTGTGCCATTAGAAATTAATAGCAAGCTTTCTTTTATAATGCTAACAAATGGCGGTGTAAGATTAATCAAAAGATAAATCCTGGACGCAGTTAGATGTGATGGATTGTAGTACACTTAAAAGAAGCTTCACTGAGGTCAAAAAGCCTAAGAAAAGTTTGACATTCTTACATAGATCAAGTGAAGTACGAACAGTTCTGCAAAGAATAATAAAGAAATATACTCAGAACTGAATTGAATATCGATTTCTTGTGAAATGTTTAGTCCAATTTTTTGGACGATAAAAATGATTATTCGAGAATAACATCGGATGAGGGAAGTCATTAGTCCAGACCTTCATGAATTGGAACACAAATATAGCAAAAAAATTATTTCCAGTCCCGTTATGTCAAAAACCTTAGTGAAGTCCCTTCAAGTAAAAGATACGAAATTATGTGCATTAATTTTTTCAGTTTATTGCTTAAACTTCGCCCAGTTTGTTGCTTAAACTCCGCCCGATCTGAAAGGTGAAATTGGAAACTTCCCTGGGTTTCAGACAATATCCAGTATTAACATATAGGGGTTAAATAATGCTTTATTTACCAGTCTCAGTAAAATCTCTATATTCGAATCCACCCCCTGTCCCAATTTCACTTTTTTGGAGAAATTTCAATGTTGAGCCCTCTGGTTTGAGTAAATAAAGTGCAGCTAGGCCATCGCCGCCCCGCAATACCTACAATGTCATCGTTGAAGATACACTGGTGACCTTATAAATTAAAGATGTTTGTTCCCAATTTAAATTTAAAATTACAAATTTAATAATAAAATTCAGAAAACGTGAATAGTTTTCTAACCTTTTCAGCACCATGTACTAGCTCTCTACAAGCAAATGTTACATTACAGCACTTAACCCAGTACCGTAATGTATGTCAAATGGTGTTTCTTTGCACTGAATAATCGTAATGTATATAAAATGGCGTTACTCTGCACTGTATTACCGTAATGTATATAAAATGGCGTTACTCTGCACTGTATTACCGTAATGTATATAAAATGGTGTTTCTCTGCACTGAATTACCGTAATGTATGTAAAATGGTGTTTCTCTGCACTGAATTACCGTAATGTATATAAAATGGTGTTTCTCTGCACTGAATTACCGTAATGTATGTAAAATGGTGTTACTCTGCACTGAATTACCGTAATGTATGTAAAATGGTGTTATTCTGCACTGAATTACCGTAATGTATGTAACATGGCGTTACTCTGCACTGAATTACCGTAATGTATTCAAAATGGTGTTACTCTGCTCTGAATTACCGTAATGTATGTAAAATGGCGTTACTTTGCACTGAATTACCGTAATGTATGTAAAATGGTGTTACTAAAAATTGCATTAAGAATTATTTAAATATAAAATTTTCAAATTTATCTGCCAACAGTGAAGATTAAAGTCAGCCTATACTGATGTGCAAGATGGCGAAACTATATTAAAGTTGTAACTAACGAACAATGTCATTGTGTCATCCGGGTGATAAGGTTGGCCAATGATATCATATGTAATGATTCACGTGAATTCTTATCATCTCGTACCGGAAGTATAGCTTTCACATCTGTGACGCAGGCGTCATAAATAAAAAACTAGATGCACTTATCAACATCAAAATTTCTTTAAATATCAGAAGTCTGTAGAATATTTGTTACAGTGAAAAATGAAGCACTGAAAATAAAAGTGTACTCGTGCAACGCATGCTTCATTACAATATGTAAGAGTTATATCCCTTGATTAGAAATAAGCTCTTGTACCAATGTTAGTATTTTTATTTAGTATTTTTATTAATTTCTATACATAAATAGTGTATGTAAAGTCATGCATTCTTTTCTTTCAGAGTTATCGTTCTTTTACTGAAAACAACTGAATTGAAGTATTTGTTAACCGGAAGTGACAAGGAATTCAGCAAGTGAAGTATCAATATTCCATAGAATTACCACAGAATATAAATTATTTGAAATAGAAAATTCAAAAAGAAATAAAACGTAAAAATCGTTAATAAAATCTGACTAAAGCTGCTTAACAGTGACCATTCGCTTCATATGCTAAGCTATAAATTCATTTGTGAAATGCCAGTTTAAAGAACGACAACTCTGTACTACTGACTGACTTATTTACCGGTGAATTGAGCATGATGCATCAGAGTACCGACCCCTTGATACTCAACACTGTCAATGTATCCTGGATTTACTGGATTTCTTAAATATGCATTTATTCTCGTATCCCCTCCATATATTACCTGACGAATGAAATATGAAGCTTATTTGATACATATGTTATATTCGTGTCATTTATCATCCAGGCCCCTACCCATGAAAGTAGCGGGTATTTTGATATCAGGACCAGGGAGACCTCGGTAAAACAAATCAGATATGAGTCATCGAAAACTAAATATACAACTATTTTTTGTCGCGTTTAATAATAAATAAAACCCACCAAATTGACCGGTTAGAAATACTTGTCAATTTCCCCTATCTCCCCGCAACCATGTGGGATTGGGTGCCCGGAGTTACAAATGAATGTTGCGTTATGTCTAATAAAACCTGAAGACAAAGTGAGAGAAAGTCAAATTGTCATCTCAGCCGCTAAGTCAGATTAATAACGTATGCGGAGAGATCGACAAACCAATGGTTTCGTTCTTGTATAGAACAGTTCAAGAAAATGGTGAATGAAATGCTGAAAAAGTTTGATCAAGTAATACCCTTGAATGTGTGACCGTACAAGGTTGAGCTTAATTAAGTTGGGAACATACTAACTAATAAGAGTCAGTAATCGGACCAGAGCTGATTATACAACAAATGGGCGTCGTAACGGAAAGGCCCTTGTGGTCATTAAATCGAAATTAAGGAAGTTATTTTCTATCCGCATACGAATTGCTTAAAACTAACGAGTCGTGTAATACGTACAGAAAATATATTATAATAATATACTATGAATTATTCATAAGATTTGCAAATAAATTTGTTTTACTAGTAATACAGAATATGTGTAAATATATATGTATATTGCGTGAATTACTCTTTTGCATGATAAATATGACCTTATTTCATGTGGATTTGTTCAGCTCACGCAACAATATTGATTCCCTGTCAGAGTTTCCTCCCTTTATTTATTAATTAGAGTAATTAGACTATGCCACATCCGTGTTGCATGTACTCTGACCAGACCAGGGTCTATACAATGTCGGCTGACAAGCTTCTATCTCAAAAATAAATTTCATAGATATTTTCAGAAATGAAAAATGCATAATATACATTTAAGAAATTCAGCAGTTTAGGGGTGAAATTAGAATTATTACTAGTATATAAATCTTTTTTGAATAAACATGAAAGTTGCATGCCTCCAGATGAGTCAATTAAGATATTTCAAGAAAATTAAACTTAAAAAAAGAACCAAACTTTTAAGATAAGTAAAAAATATCAGAGATTCAAGTAATAAATAACACTTTATGTGCGATTAATGACTGATTGTGTAGTATTCATCGCCATAATTATTTATACTGCGTGTGGGCTATTTTTGCATATTTTGACCTCAGTTGTTGATAACAAAATAATATTAATCACTTTCGAGCCCGCCTCAAGAAACTATAAGCAGTACTGGTGTAAAACGGGGAAACATGGTCGTGACCAGATTAGATTTTTATACTTCACAACAGCAGGTGTCAAGTGCTGTGTGGCAGCTGTAGAAAGTTGCCCCGTACTTCACTTCAGCGTTGTTATATTTTCTGGTCCTTCGGGATCATTGATGCCAGCACTATTAAGTGTTGAGAATTGAGTACCGCTCAAGCCGGTGCTAGAGGGCGTGAGGGATGTTGCACTCATTCATTATCCCTCATGTACAGACTCAATCAAACCGAGTCTGCAATTCTTATACATGTAATTTTGTTGTGATTAATGTTTCCGAGGGATCACTTTGTTTCCAGATTTTTTAACCCACTGTGCCTCGGTTGAGTGTCACACACCTTAACCATTACGCCATCGCTCCACTTTTAACTGCTGTCATGCAGCACATTTCAATCCAGTGATGTCATAATTTTATAATGTAATTTTAATATAAGGTCTGATAACTTAAGGTGAGGGTTATAACTATTTGTGAAATATATTTATTAAAGGTACGCATAACGCATTTAAAATGCATTGTAAAAACCAGCTTCAAATTATGAATGTCATTTTTCAAACACAAACTTAAAAACTGGTATGCACCACCTAAATTTCATAGCTCAAGGCACGTATGTTATTTCGCTATTTGTCCATGTTTAACAAGGTTAACAACATATGATTTCACGTATGAAGAGAAAAACGTGTTTCCTTATTTATTTTCGCTATCTAATTTAACTGAAAATTTAATTATACACGTTTACTATTAGTCTTGTTTCCGCTCACATTTTTAATCAAAATTTTAAAACTATGGTAACAGACTGAACAAGTATTAAGTACTGTTTAAATCTTCAAATATGTAACTCGTATCTGTTTGACCTTGATAACAAAGTTTTCATTAAAATATTACTACAATAAAGTCCTGTATTTAGACAAGTAATAAAAGCGCGCGTGAGACAGACTGGTTTCTCGCCAGCTGTCCGTCTCCGCCAGTTGATTTTGTGCTTGAGGGGACAATATATGTTAACATGTCGTGTCATAATATATGTTTTACTTTAACTCATAACAACCTGACAACTGTGAAATGGATTTGCCCTGCTGTGAATATGGAACAGGCCATTTAATGATTAAGGGATTACAATATTAATATACCAAAAAATGAGCTACCAACAGTATAGAACGTGGTCAGACTATCTAAATGTGCAGACTGATCTGACTCTATACCTAGGGAACTTAGGGTTGAAATAAATGTATCAATCGATGCGTTTAAAATGATAAAACCTGTAAATGAGAACCCTGCGTATTTGAGGTGCTCCGTGTGCCACAATATAATTTGTCACATAGTGACATTACACGTCCCGTACTTACATGGTTATTTACACATAGTCATTAAATTTTTAATAAAGTTTTCTACTAATAGTTACAGCCTTAAAACAAAGTCTACTTTCAACTGTGTACGATAGAACTTACACAGTAGCAAATAAGCGAACAAGTATAATATATACATGTATGTGTTTGTAAGAGATTAAACATATATGACCTTTTACATGTAATCATGCGCTTGTTCAGTCTATGCAAATTGCGTCTCGTTAAAAATATTCAATTAAGGTGTTATACTATCAGAAAAAATAGCACGCAGCGTATTTATCATCATTATTCAAACAGGATACAGTAAAAATAAAGTAATTAATTAACACCTAGAGCGCATTTCATTATAAAAAGCGTATATAAGTAAAGGCCTCAACAGACGGTAGGATTTAGCTGTACAGCACTAATTAGAGATAAGATGTACAATTTTCAAAGCTATACAACACTTGCATTCAGACGGTAATTCTATACTGTAAGAATCTTCTGAGGTTTCCCCTAAAAAGGATCCCTTTACATTGATCCTTTACATACTTTACTCACTTAATACTTTTTTTCGCCATGAGTAATGATTGAAACACCTCCATTAAAAAAAATATATATATAAATTTTTTAATGTGAAGCCTGACCGAGACTCAAACCTGGGACCCTCGGAATACCGTACTGCGGCTCTACTGACTAAGCTATGTGGCCGCCTTCAAACTTAACCTCCCCTCCCTAAATTCATGTTATTAGAGAACAACTCAATACCGTGACATAATCATTTTCGGAATAATTTGGGATTCAAACACAACACAACTTTGGGTCTCCTGAAGAGTTTTTCAACATCATTTTTACCCAATCTTACTACTATGTTTACCTTTTAGCCCTAATTGTTCTGGAATTTCATTCATTACATCCATTATCAGGAGATAATTTGCTTATCTGTTACTTGTCATTGTGGGAGGTCTGTAAAAATCGGTACGACAAGATTTTCAAAATAGAACATGTCCTATCCCTTACATCTCGACATAAGGTTTCCGAAATTAAGAAATAGTAGCCTTCACACATTAAGATTTGTCTGTACATCTTAGTTTTAATTGGTGTTGTACTTCAAAATCCTACCGTCTGTTGAGGCCTTAACGTATACGTTTTACGTTTTACGATACGTTAACGTACATGTAATGTTTACATTAAGGTAAAAAAAGGAAACATTAGTAAATAAACTTACAAAAGGTATAAGTAATATAAACAAAAAATCTACAAACCTCGAATGATATATGAAGTTTACCACCGGCCACTATTTTTTGATAAAAGCATTCTTCTTTACCGGCTCCTACTTCTATTTTAAACTCATGCTGGGCTCCTGGTAGCCCGTCAAAGTCAAACTCATCCGTTTCCGTGCCCAACACAACCTCCGCCCATCCCTCGGGCCACAAAATGCTAAAAATAACGTTTAAGAATAGAACGATTTTTGTCATGTTGTCAATGCACTATAACATGAATATTACACGTAATCTATTCCCACAGTATTAACTATACCAGCGTTGTCATGCTAGCTAGGTTGTATTTGTTTTAGTACCTTGCTTATCTATGTACAGCCCGTGTGAGCTCTGATAAATGGAGTTACGTCGACAAGATAATGTCAAATGTCATACAAAGGGAAATAACTGCATGATTATATTAGTTGACGCTCTGAAACCTAAAAACGTATTGATCATTTTGGTATTTTCTTAAAGATGATTTTAGCAGAGTAACAATTGAACCATTTTTTTCAATATGTAAAAGGGTCCTTTGATAAACCTTAGAACAGTTTTGAAACAATGATTGGACGAGGCTACGTACAGTCTTGTAAAGCCCTTTTCAGACTGTGCAAGGCATTTATATATATGTAACGAATTTTAACGAAAGTAGAAGAAAAGACCATCAGGGTCTCTGTAAGAAATAAAAAGGTTAATAAGTCGTTTATCTGTATGGAAAAGAAATGGACCCAGTAGTAAGGCATTTCATATTATGCATCGTATATTCTTTTGTTGTTGTTGTTGTTGTTATTATTATTATTCTTAGTTAGTGGCAGTTTGTTACGGAAGTAAATTATTATCCCCGCCATAGTCCATAGGTCACAGTTATCAAAACAATATGAGATCGTAAGCGGTTTAATCCGTCTGTTTTCATTCAAAGACAAAAAGACTTGAGGACATTTACGTTAGTTCAGTCAGTAGGAAAGAAAATGTCAGACGAGCAAAACACAATTTCTCACGTTTTTGTTCAATACATGTATGATAATGAAAAATCATAGAGAGGTTTCTATCAAAACCGTTTCATTGAACAGATTTACATTTTTTAACCTACAAGCTTTGATTATGTTCTATATAAGCATTCTGTTTAAGCTGGTATACATAAGTCACCAACAACTCTGACCTGGCTCAGTGAAAAGGTCAAAAAGAACAAGAAGGGTCGATCTTCGATCAATAGCGCGAAACCAAAAAAATCACTATCAGCACATGTATTCGGACGTATTGCTTCCGACGGTCACTGTGTAGCGACGAGTCTCGTTGGATAAGTGAACCCCTTCTCTTTAGGCTGATGTATAAATCACCCTTGTCTCGGGCTCAGCTCAGTGACTCGGTGAAAAAATACAAAAAGGGTAACATTTTAGGAGGCCGAGACTGCAACAGTGTATACATACATTTTAAGACAGTACGTGTGTTCTTGGGACGAGTTCTAGACTGCTACAACCGATCTCATTAGACAAAAAGAGCTTTCTTTACCGGCTTATATAAGTTACCACAAAGGAGATTGACATTCTATCAATAATTGAATATTCTAACACTCACGTGATTTTGTCACTGTAGACAAAGAAGGAAAAAAACTGGTGTTAAACTGCCAATATAACACCGGTTAGGGACTACTTGTATATGCGCTGTTTTGTTTTCACCCTCGATTGTATAGTTTACAAAGCATTTTAAAGCAAAAATAAATAGCATTTTTATTTATATTTTCAATTCGTAAAATGTTTTCTTTTCATACAATACCGAAATAATATCTCACATACACTAACGCCACATATTAGATCCATATCAGTTAATAAATATTTTGACAAAACGGCGCCAATCCGTAAGCAGTGTAATGACGTCATCCTAATGACGTCTATTTTATGATCACATCCGTGTTATTTGTGCCGTGTGGCGGCTGTAAAAAGTTTCCCCGTACATTTAATCAATGATTTTATATTTTTGATCCTTGAAGATCGTTCAGCACGACATTATTGTTGTGCTTGTGGTATTTTTAGTTTCAACTTTTCGGCATTTTCTAGTTGGGTGGTTCAAATATTCCTACTTGAATAATGTTGAATCACCCTTAGGATATGTTGCCTGCTTTTTAAATTTGTCTTTTGACGTCTTATCTGTGATATGCAGGCTTCATAACCTCTGATCCCCTTTCAAAATTCCATTTTAATTAGTTCTGCCCATTGTTTTCTCGTTTAGGGCACACGCTTTTTATTACTTGGGGACCATACGCCGCTTTTCATGGAATAGCACGGAAGTGTCACATTGAAGGTTCCATGATAACCGCCGTATGAACACATCTGCGGATGTTTCTAAATTCAAAGTTTTACTACGTTGAATTCTGCTTAAGCCGGTGCTAGGGGGCGTGGACGGTAACTTGCACTTTCCAGTACCGTCCATGAACAGGCTCAATCAAACCGAGCCTGCAACATTTTCAATTTTGTCGTGTTGGGCTTTCTTTAGGGATTCTGTATTTATCTATTCTAAGTAAACAACTCATTCATAAACATTAAACAAGCTGACGTTATTTCATAATACAAGAATGTAAAATGGGGCGCTGATGTAAACACAATACGACGTAAGTTTTTTATTGTTGAAAACTTGATAAAATAACGTTTTTTCTTATTATTTCTTTTGTTTAATAATTTCTATATCTTTGCCACAGTAGGGTGCGAAAATCGAACAGCGTTATACGAAAATCGGCACCGGAAGTTATTTCCGCTTGAAAAATAACATTAGAGATTTTCCTTATTTTCCTGAGAGGTGTATATCGGCTATTTAACACCGGTTTGGTCGTTTTGATGCGAGAAAATTAACCACTCAGGCCTACGGCCTTCGTGGTCAATTCCTACGCATCAAAACTCCAAACCGGTGTTAAATAGCAAATATACACCTCTCAGGCCGATGTTATTTCTTAAATATAAGCAAATAATTAAAAAATAACGGCAAATGTACCACTCTATACTTCAGTTTATTTATAGTATAGACGGACCCGTACATTTGCCGTTATTTTTTAATTATTTGCTTATATGTTTCAATTATTGATAAAATGTCACCCATACGTCAAAATCGACTCAGTGACACACTGGTGGTTCTTCGATATAGCGCGAGACTGAAAAAAAAACACTGAGTGTACATGTACCTGCATGCCAACGATGAATATGTTCTTGAATCAACTCCACGTCTTCATGCATATTCCATTTTCAGGACACGCTTAACGTAATTTTTTAATTGAAACCCGGACAAATTTCATTTTCGTCAAAACTATCATCTAATTCCATTCCATTCCATGCAGAACTCTGGTTGCCATGGCAACCAAAAGAAAAAACTTTAGATATCTTCTTCTAAAAAAAAACCCAAAGAGCTAGAGCTTAGATATTTGGCATGACACATCTTCTAGTGAGTGTCTACCAAGTTTGTTCAAATAAAATCCCTGGGGTCAAAATTGGTCCCGCCCCAGGGGGTCATTGATTTCCCTATATGTATATAGTAAAAACTTAAAAAAACCTTCTTTTAAAGAACCCAAAGAGCTAGAGCTAAGATATTTAGCATGAATAGTTTTTTTATCATCTGTCACATATGAAGAACTATATATAAATCGCATTTGTTACGTTCAAGTTCTTTTACTGATTTGATCTTGAAGGTGTTCTATTCAATTTCTCTTTCAGCTTTCATGCATGCTTTCATTTCCGCTTAATTCTTTTGTTTTGTTCTCTTTCCTTTTTAAAGGCACATTATGTCTCAGAAATCCTTTTACTTAATTCTATAGAAATATGAAATATATGTGTTAAATAATGTTTAAATAATGGATTTAGAGCATATTAGATGCTTAACAATTGAAGAAAATTGCGCTGAATGTGAAGTATGTGTCGAAAAAGTAGCAATTAAAATGTAAACAAAGCAGTATATATTGACTTCTATACAAAATACTCATTCACTAAGATACTCTTAGTGAATGAGTATTTTGTATAGAAATATACATTGTCAACAGAGCAAAGGAAGTTAAACATAGTTTATTTATTTTGCAAATTTAAAAACTGTAAAATGATATACCAAAAAATAGAAAGTTTTTGAGAAATAGAAATGAAAGCATTTCTGTATCATAATGGACCTTTAATTAAACGTTTTGTCTTCGCTCTCCCCGAACATCTCTTGAGCTGAAAACGCAGAGACTGTCGCAACTTTGCAATTACACTGTAAATATGGTACCCTATCTTTTCTACTTTGGTTCATGAATGGAAAGAGAACTTAATGTGTGCGCTTGACAATTAACCTTATTAAGAATGGGCATATAAATGGATGAAATTGAAATGATGTATTTCAACTGGTATGAAATTTATTTTTTTTAGAAACTGACACGTTTCTATATATATTAAAATTAAATATTTCATTAGTCACTAGGCTATTTTTTCACTTCGGTATTTAAAATAAAAAAAACATATAGATATATGACAGCCCCGTGAAAAGCAGTATATTCTAATCAAAAGGGGCTAATTTACACGTTCCCGGTATCAGCAACCAATGCCTTCTTTATGTAACATTGCGACTTTAATCTTTCAGTCATGCCATTCACGTATAAAAAACGCATCAGTAGCATGAAAACACAATATTGAGATATTGTAAGTGTACTGTAGGGACCAGTATACATGTATAATAATGATTCGTCAAAATGTGAAAGTCTGACCAGAAATGCTTCTTGTTCGATTATATTTCGCAGATTTCTAATAAATGTTAATTTCAGAAATCAAGCGCACCAAAACACGAACAGAATTTTATGAAAAGTTGAAACGTTAATATATCATAATGAGTTCGAAAGTGAAGGTGAAAAAAATACATGTATTTTTAACTCATATATAGCTTTATACCTGAACAATACACATTACATATCTCATGAAATAGCGTGAAAATAATAATTATCACATATTTTCGCGACACAACGTAAAAGAGCTATTCCAGATCACACCTTTTATACCCTTTTCAAGACACTATAAAGTTGTTGTGTTCTACCTTAAAAGTAGCATTTGTTACTAAATAGAAAGTTAATTAAGGTTTTACTTACAGTACAGCTTAATTATTTTAACTGGACCTTGGATGCTGGTAAATGATAGAATTACAGTCAACCCGGCCCCAAGTTAACAGGGCCTCACGTCAATCCGGCCCCAAAATTGGTCAATCCGGCCCACATTATATCTATTTGGTCAATGGGGACCCAAAATTGGATAATCAGGCCCCAATGTTGGTCAATCCGGCCCCAAAATTGGTAATTTTTTATAAAATTGAATTATTGTTTTGGAAGTGGCTAGCCAAAAGTTCTAGCCGTACGTGAGTCACGTACGACTAGCCTGGACACACTGTATTGGCTAGCCGTACGGCACTTTTCAAAATTATATGGAAGTCGAAAATGCATATGTTATTTTGTGTCTTTAAACGACGATTTTAATCAAATCTCCGCATTTGTCCTAGTGTCTTCACTTTAATAAAGATGCTCCGCAATTTTTCACACACAAAAAATGAATACGAGTAAGCGTTGTATAATCTATCTTAATAACATTAAGTGTCAAAGTTGCATGTTATAACGTCCTTAATTTTCATGCTTATGATTTGTATGAAGGATGAATTGTTAAATCTGTTAATTAAGCACATGGATCGAATAAATAATGATCGGAGGGAATAAATAAATAAAAAAATAGAGAATTAAAAAAAACGGTGAAAAGGAAAAATAATTTAATAATGCAAACTTTCCTTAATGATGGACGATGGACAAACTTCTATACCGTCGGTAATTGACGCAATTATAGAGCCCGACAACAATTATTTTCAGTGTTTTTTGTTTGTTTTTGTTTTCAATTTAAAAATTAATATTAATGAAACAAAAAAAGATTATTTTCAAAATTGTGTAAACCATTTCAATTGATGTTATTTAACTGCAACCAAACGCTATTTTTCTCGACGTCTTGAGATGACAAAGTACGTACATTCTTTACTGTAGCCAACACGTCGATTAATCTCTAAAAAGTAAACATTCTTGACTAAAATCCTCGCTTAAAGTCATAATTAACATGCACTTTCGCCACCCATATATTTTTGAAAAGTGCCGTACGGCTAGCCAATACAGTGTGTCCTGGCTAGTCGTACGTGACTCACGTACGGCTAGAACTTTTGGCTAGCCGTACGGGCCCGTACGGCTAGCCACTTCCTATTGTTTTAGATGGTATTCAGCTTCTTTCCTTTTCTCTTTTGTCTATAAATGATATATTTATTACTGTTATACACACATTTAAAAAAAATAAAGGATTTTCAAAATATATATACATCTTGACTTACTGAAGAATATGAACCATAGAATAAAACTAATTAAAACATCAATTGGCTTTAAATTTGTCAGTAAATTTAATTGCACCAATTAAGGCTTTAATACATAAATGATAATAGTGATAATGAATGATTATTTAAACATCAATAAATAATTTAATTATGTGTGAATGTATGCATTTATTCAAACAGTTAAGAGCAATCAATAAACAAAGAAATATTAATTGTGAAAAAAACTTTTAACTTTGTTGTCTGATCTATTTCATTTAAAAATATTTTATGACTTACTCTATGTGTTTGCTTCTTTCACATGTACCGCTTAAAAGAGCTGTCTGAAACAGTCAGCCCTTCTGAATACTGTGTCTTCTGGTATAGATCCGTAATTGGGAGAAGAGAGAAACTTTTAAATATTATTAATATAGCTCTACTTTTTCACTTTTTCTTATTATCTTTTTTTTCTATTCAGGAAATTATGTGAATAATCATCAAGATAAAAAGCACAAGAGAATGTCTTCAAAGATTTGTTTTTATATAATTCATCACCTTTACTTTAAACAAGTTGTTTATTAAACAATAAAAATCTGGAAACAAATTGATCCCTCGGAAACATTTATCATAACAAAATTACAAGACAACTGCAAACTCGGTTTGATTGAGTCTGTACAAGAGGGATAATGTAAAGTGCAACATCCCTCCTAATAAAGCACATTAGTTAACTAGTTTTAATAAAAACGTCTAGTGTGCTTCTAGATATAATGAATCTTGCAATAATAATTATTCACATTATTTCTTGAATAAAAAGTAGTGCCAAATAACTAATGATAAAAATTGGGCCGGGTTGACCAGACGCCAGATTGACTTGGGGCCTGATTGACTAATTTAGGGCTGGATTGACTAGAGGCCTGGTTGATTTGAGGCCAGGATGACTTGTACTGTAAATGATATATAAACTTTACTTTAAAACGAACTGTAAGTTCAACTCCCAACTATCTACAGTATACTTGATAACTTTCTTATTTTTATATGAAAATATATGTCATTTGTCTACAGCCATGCAGCTTAAAGTTTGAATACTTTAACAAAATGTTATCATTTACAGAAACCTAAACCAGTGAAACCTGACAGCTCAGCTGACAATACTTCAGAATCTGATTTACCAGATAACTGTGAGGTATGTTTTGTTTATTGCATCAGGTCACATACACTAACACTGATATTGCCCTTCAAGTCATTATTTCAGCCACAAGCAAGCACCAGAGAAGAACCATTGACTTGTAAGCTTGCTGGAGGTTAATTACACTTAAATAATCACTATGAATACAAGTTTTCAGCCTGAAGTTTAACAGGTTTTTTTTAATATTCCTGAAAGCTCACTTTTTCTACATACATGTAAAACCAAGTGAATTAATAATAATTTCAGAGTTTTCAGGTTTTCTTAATTTTTAACTTGCACCCTTGTAAAATGTTAATGTAAATTACTTTTTGTAATGCATTTCATGACATTTACATTGCCAAAATCTGTACATTATATTACAATTGGAAGGGGTTTTATAAAGTAACACATTACATTACAATTACTTTGGCAAAATAATACATTACATCTAGGAAAACTTTTAGAAAAATAAGATTGACAGTCATTATAAATGCTGAATCTCATCAATATCAGATTAAACTCTTCAGCCTTTCAACACATCAAATTAATGTACACATTTATTATTTAGAAAATACCTTTTAAAACTTATTAATTTTTACTAGCCCTAAATTATTTTTTTCCTTTTTCAGGAAATGAAAGCAAAATTTGAACAAGAGCTTATCTGGTGCATAGAGCAGCTTCAACTTGGTTTAGACACAAGTAATCCAAATTCTAAACAAGGTACTGCTTGACAAAAACAAAATCATTATATTTAGTTTGACAACTACATAAATTGTTGTCTTTGCTCTTAGTGTTCTTAGGCCACAAATCAATTATCATCTCCCTATTTACCATCTTTACAATGATGATGTTAATATCTAAGTACATGGAACTTGCTAATGTGATATTCACCTTGGCTGAAAATACAGGGAAATCTACATGCAATAAATGTTTTATTATATGACTGTCTTTAAAATTCTTCAGTTGGTAATTTTTCAAAGTTGTCCAATTGCCTGTTTCATGCAAACAAGTAAGCTGATAGAATATTTTATTATATACAATTATTGTATAATATTGAGGTGAGTATCTAATGTGACCTTGCTAATGTGATATTCACCTTAGCCGAAATAACAGGGAAATCTCCACAAAATAATTGTCTCAGTTGTTAAATTTTCAAAGTTTTCAAATTTCATTTTTCATACAAACAAGTTCTAAATAAGCAGATGGAATGATATGAATCAGTAAATTACACATGATGGTTGTTTAACATAATATTGCTTTTGATTGGTTAGCTAGAATTCTATATACTGTAAAGTGGTTTATGATTGCTTTCATATACAAATGTAGTAGACATTTTAATTTTAAAAGCGCCATTCTTTATTAAGTTATGAAAAGTTTGTTTTGATCAGTATCACCAAGTCAATGTTAAGTTCCACTCACTGTCAATACAAACACAGGGGAATTGTTATTCATATAATAATACCTTATGATTGATATTTTCATCTTGTAGCCATAGAAGGTACTAAGGCTTTGAAGATTCTTTTAAGTTCTAAAGCTCCAATGATAAAGAAGAGACAAGTTATGAGGAATACATTTGGTGACTACAGGAAGAAGATGGCAGAAATGGAACACAAAAGTACTATAGGTAATTTTCTTTTATGTATTTTTGAAGGAGTTGTGCCCCTGGATTTTTGTGTCGCCTCTACGGAGTAGTGGCGACATATAGGGATCACTTCTCCGTCGTCTGTCTGTCCGTCTGTCCGTCCGTCCATCACAAAACTTGTCCGGACTACTCCTCATAAACTACTGGTGCAATTTCATCCAAACTTTACAGGAATGATCAGTACCAAGTCTAGTTGTGCATATTGTCAGCATTTTCCGGTTCAATGATTTTTGTCAGAGTTATGGCCCTTTAATAATTTTTAGCTCGACTATTCGAAGAATATGAGAGCTATTGTAGTCGCCCTGGCGTCGGCGTCAGCGTCCGCGTCGGCGTCTGCGTTGGTTAAAGTTTTTTGTAAAGTCAAATATCTCAATTATTACTTGAGATATTCAATTGAAACTTACAATACTTATTTATAGTAACAAAGTACATCAGATTGACAAGTTGGATAACTCTGCCTACAATATTGACAGAATTATGCCCCTTTTTAACTTAGAAATTTTGGTTAAAGTTTTTTGTAAAGTCAAATATCTCAATTATTGCTTTAGATATTCAATTGAAACTTACAATACATGTTTATAGTAACAAGGTTCATCAGATTGACAAGTTTGATAACTCTGCCTGCAATATTTACAGAATTATGCCCCTTTTTAACTTAGAACTTTTGGTTAAAGTTTTTGTAAAGTCAAATATGTCAATTATTGCTTGAGATATTCAATTGAAACTTACAATACTTATTTATAGTAACAAGGTACATCAGACTGACAAGTTGGATAACTCTGCCTACAATATTGACAGAATTATGCCCCTTTGGAACTTAAAAAAATTTTGGTTAAAGTTTTTTTGTAAATTCAAATATCTCAATTATTGCTTGAGATATTCAGTTGAAATTTAAAATACTTTTTTATAGTAACAATGTACATCAGTTTGCAAAATTGCACAACTCTGCCTGCAATATTTGCAGAATTATTTGCCCCTTTGAAACTTAGAAATTTTGGTTAAAGGTTAAAGGTCTTCAAAGATATTTACTTGAAACTTTACACATGCACTTAGGGTCATAATTGGAGGGTCATACTATCAAGCACATAGAATAGTCGAGCGTGCTGTCCTACCGACAGCTCTTGTTAATTTCAAAGATTGTCCGGACTACTTCTCTTATACCACTTATGCAATTTCAATGAAACTTTACAGGATTGATCTGTAGCTCAAGTCCTTGCGCATATTGCATGGGTTTTCTGGTTGAATGATTTTTGGCCAAGTTATGGTTCTTTGATAAAAAGGTTTTTTTTCTGGGGTGTTGCCCAGATACGAAAAAGTTTGGGCCCGGACTATTTCCCCCAAAAAACATTGGTGAAATTTTTAAAACCAAAATTTTTAACAGGAATGATCAGTACCAAGTTTTAGTTGTCCCCACTGTCCGTCTTTTCAAAATTTTTTCCCAAACATAAAATTGGCCATAAATGGGGCACACATTGATTACTGATCGCTTTTTGTTGAAAATTCAAAAGGGGAGACAGTTTATTTATGTGTTTGGGTTTAATTGGGAAACCCCTTGGGTGTGTGGGCAAAATGGTTAAGGTTTTTTTGCCCTTCAACCCACTTCCCCCCCCTTTCCCCCCCCCACTGGGGTTCATACCCCTGTTTGGGGATTTTTTTCTTTAAAAAAGACGTGTCCAGTTTGTTTAAGGGGAAATCATCAGTTTTGGGGGTTTGACCGTTTATTTTTCTTGAAGCAATGCAACCAGGGGCACCCCAAGGTCTTCCTCCGCTTATAAAGCTATAAAGTTTCCATATGACCTCAATTTTGTTGGTGCAATATAAAATCAATCAAAAAATAAAAATTCAGACGGTGTTTCAGTTGTATTACTATGCCCTCAAAGTGAGCACTGTCTGCACTTTTACTCAGCAACCATTAAATTTAGATTTAATTCTCAAAACTCCATAAAAAAAGTCAGGTGAAATTTACAAATTTTGTGTGTGTTTGTTTTTTTTTAAGCCATATAACTAAAAACTTTATCTGGAAGATTCCAAACTGTTTGTGAAAGTTTCAATCTGTAAGGTTCAACAGTTTTCTAAATTTTCTTTATTCAGCAAAAAAATAAATCATTGTTTAATTGGTACAAAATATGTTCACACTCTTGTTAAGATGAGAATACATATTATATTTCAGCTGCTAGGAAAGGCAAAATAACATCAGCTGAAACAAAGAACATGCAAAAATCTACATTCTTCAAGAAAAGCACTACTAGAAAATCTGACAATGCCACCCCAGTTAAAACGTACAGTGATACACATATAGAGAACCAGTCTGAAAATTGTAATAATAATAATAGCCATGCTGACACAGGTGCCGATTTAAACTCTAAGTTTCAATTTAACTTTAAAATTGATGACAGTGTTCCAATAGTAAGTGATACTGAAAGTATAAACACAGACAACACAGTTGAAAATGTAAATAGTCTAGGTGGTGCAGTTTTGAAAAGTGACAATTCATTCCGGTTTAATTTTACAATACCAAGTTGATGAGACGGATAAATCAAGGGATATTTGAAAGACTATTGTGAAGAAAACCTTTATATGTGTGTGAATTATATGAAGATTAAGAGTGATTTAAATAGGAGAGTATATTATCAAGGAACGGATAAAGTTGCTTAAATCAGCATGCCTCCAGATACCGATTTTCATGAAAAATTTGAAAATTAATTATTAAATATAAAAATCATAAAATTAATCAACAGTTACTGTAAAATTACATTGAATCCATTATGTTAAAGGTGATTCTCAAAAGATTTGTAACATAGAATGTCTCTGTTACTTAACAGTGTTCGTAAACAGAATAAAATGTACCGAAACAAAATATTATACTGCTGTTTTAAGTATTTTTGTGTTCTAGAACAAAATTTTAAGTAGAGTTTTATCAGTTCTGTAATTTTTTGTTCATGCCCCATTTCCTTTTAAGCTAGTTCACTATCTTATTTATTTGAATTTTCATACAAGCATTTCGGAAGTATTCTTTTTTTTAATTGAATTTTTTTTTTCAGTAGATACATCTATATAGCTTTATACACTTTAAAAGAAGATAATTGAGCTGCGTCACCACAAAACCAACATAATGGGTTTGCGACCAGCATGGATGCAAACCAGCCTGCACATCCGCGCAGTCTGATCTGATCAGGATCCATGCTGTTCGCTATCAGTTTCTTTACTTGATATAGGGTCTGTAAGCGAACAGCATTGATCCAGATCAGACTGCGCGGTCGCAAATGCATTACGTTGGTTTTGTCGTGACGCGGCTCAATTTACAGGAATTATGTATGCTAGGAAGCATAATTTGTTGACACATTTTATAAATTATTGTAAAGAAAAATGTGTTGCCAATTTCAATTGAACATATGTTTTTTATATAATAGGAATTGTTTGCTGGAATGATTTTGTGACGTAATAAATACTGGAGGATATTCTTTACTTATATTTATTTTGCTAAAATTCGCATATAGTGTTATGAATGGATGTATTGTAAACATACTAACTTTTTGGAATCATAATATTTTCAGAATATTAAAAACAGAACTTGACCATGACCCTTATATGACCTTGACTTTTAAGGATTGAACTGGCCACAACTCGTTTAACCAGGTGTCAATTTGCCACCATTCAAGTATGACCTTGAGCTTAACATGACTGGCCTTTATGAATAATGGAACGGAAATATGCCGATTTAATAGTCATAACCTTATTATTATTGCACTGATTTGATTACTATGTGGACATTGAAACTAAGACAAAACGAACTTGTTCAATAATTTGCTAGTAAGTATGACCTTGCACTTAAGAAAACTTCGCCGTAAATATTTTCTCTTCGCCCTATATGATCTGAAAAGCGAAATTCTAGTCGCCCGTAAATCTCTATGAAACGTCAGACATGTATAACTCGATAATACTGTCTGGAGGCAGATTTAATTTCACGGCGTCTCAACGCCGTGATATTGTGATGGGTAGTTTTCGGTAGCATGGGCAAAAGTCACGTGACAAAATTCCTTTCGATTTCTACAGCCGACATTTTATTGGCTTTTTACGCAATCATTGTACAGCCCATTTCCGTGAAAAGTTACATAGAAACATTTCCTTTCAAATCATATACATTACAGTATTTTTATCAACACGCGAAATATAAGCGTGATATATTTACACAATTTCGCAAATCCTTTCGACACACTTGAGAAGTTTGAATACTAAAACCCGGATTTCGAATATCGTTGTGGTCTACATTGATGCCATATCCATTCGTTCATTCATTTATATATTTTCAAAATTTTCCTACAAGAAGAAAGTTCACCTGCCAATTAGTATAAGGATAGGTAATGGACTGTTATAAACGATTATCCTATTAATTTTCTATATTACATTTATCTGTTGCACAGAATGGTTGGTTTTACAAGGTGTACCAGTATCCGGATGTTGAAAGCTATCCGATTTTCTGCAAAAACTGCTGTAACATGGCCATCTATTTTTTATAAATACTTTACCATGAATTTGCATGGCTTAATAAAACTAAGCCTGCAACATTTCTTAATTTTGATGTTTGGGGTGTTCTTTTGGGTTTCAGGTTTTCTCTATTTTAAGGGGAAGTAACTCATGTTTACTAAATTATCTGTTCTTTTCTGTCTATCTTAGGTTGAAGTTAGGTATTACTTACTATTTTTGTTTAATAAAATTTACCAGTTGTAAGGTATTAATCAAAAGCATAGAGGCCATGATGAGTGAATATTGATATATATTTTTTTACTGGCTTTATATACCTTAATTAGACCAGATTTTTCTAGTTTGTTCAGTTAGGTATTCTGCTAGAGGAATATTCTAATCAATATGTGAAATTATTATTTTCTATGTGTTTGTATGTAAATTGCTCATAAAATAACCTTTGGTAAAAATGAAAAGGTAGAATATTTAAGCTATACATATGGGTGCTCATTTTAAACACTTTATATATATACAGTTAGTTTTATAGTAAAGTCTAATGAGGGACAGTATTTGTTACTGTAAGAGATATGCATTTAATGTTTAGAAACTCACACAACTTAATCTTTATTATATAATTTTTATTGAGATTTTTTTTTTACTTTTATACTATACAATATCATGTACATTATAGTTTTCTTTCTACAAGATTATGAATTCCACCCAAACACCAATGTTAATAGGATGTTATATTTATTTTTAATGGAACCTGAGAATTATTTATGTAATGTTCATACAAGTGTATCATAGTATATGGATATAATGTGTATTTCTGTATTTAAAGACTTACAGTTATGATGGATGAGACTTGCATTTAAATTTATAAATGATAATACATGATCAGTCTACAGGTTAAAGATGTTTATACCCAGTGTTAGCTGGCTAATAATAGTATCTATAACAGAGTTTATATATTATAGTTTTCTTTCTACTAGATTTTGAATTCCATCCATTAGTACCAATGTTAATGTTAGGATTTCATATTTATTTAATAGAAACTGGGAATTATTAATGTTATGTGCATACATGTATATCTTAGTATATTGATATGATGAGATTTATAATATTTCCAAATTTAAAGAGTTAATACAGTTATGTCATTATTATTAAAGGGATGAGACTTTCATTTAAAGTTATAAAATGATAATACATGTATTGATTGAAAATGTCCTGAATCTTGGATCCAGCAATATAATTGATAAAGTCTCCAAACAAATCATATTCTGAATAGTTACATTCTATTTTTTTTCTAACATGTGCATAGTTTGAAATGGACAGCTTCTGCCTTATCTATTTGTAATGGAGGGACACCGGTCTCAATCTCCAGGTCTCCTGAGTCAACCCAACAACATACTTTTCATAGAGTAGATTGTTACTTGCCCTTGAATAAATTTTTACACTAAATTTTATAGTGGGTGATTTAATGTGCCACATGAAAACCAACAAAGTACAAAAAGTAACCAGGCGCCAGATGAAAACATGAAAATACAATCAACCACGAAGTGGTTCGTTGGTTGCATAATTTTCATGTTTTCGCCCGGTGCCCTTGATGCAAAATACAAATCAGTCTTCATAAAATTTCTTATCATAGAAAAAAGGTTATTTTTTTATCTGTACAAAAAATAGATATTGTACATGAATTAGCACAGTTATGTTCACTTTCAAATTGACCTGTTACAAATAATGGCACAACCAATAACTGTCTAAGCCCTTTTTAGTAAAAATAATTATACAATGGTATATAAATTGTTATCTTAATTAAGACTATATGAGTATGTAAGGGTTTTTTTTCTTATTTATTAATTAAGAATTATTTATCTGTTAATTTAAAAATCTAAATATCTGTCATGGTTTAGAACTGTTCACTATTTAGGGGAGAAAATGTGTAAGTGGCCAGATAGCTCAATCGCTACAGCCGCGGTACATTATTCTGTGGGTCACAGGTTTGAGTTATGGTGAAGCTGAAAGTTTTTCTCATCCTGTGACTGCATAATAACCATGAGTTTAATTCACTATGCTCTGTAAACATCAGAAATTCAAGGACATTAATCAATATAGTGGAGAAATATGTTGTGGTTTAGAACTGTTTCATTATTTAAGAGAAAATGTGTAGCCGGCCGGATAGCTCAGTTGGTCTTCTGAAAGTCATGTGTTCGAGTCATGGTCAGGCAGTTTTGAGTCAGGGTTTAGAAGTGGTTTTGCGACTGGCACATGTTTTATTCATTTAATAAAGTGCATTTAATTTGAAATGGACAAAGGCAGTATTGCATGATACTGTTAGATCTACAAAAGCATTTGATACAGTTGATCACACTATACTGCACATGAAGAAGTTCTTTTTCTTCTTCTTAATGGAACTTCAAGCATCTGCCATATGTAATGACATTCTTACATGGTTCAAGTTTTATCTCTGATAGCAGCTGGTTGATGTGGCTGGTACTCCTTCTACTTCTGCTCTGAGTACCTATGGTGTCCCCCTGATGTTCATTTTAGGTCCTCTTTTATGTCTAATATATGTCAATGACATGTCTGCAACCCTTATAAGCAATTAGCTTTATTATATGCACAGGTACAAGTATCAGACCTGGGAAGAAAAAATATGATTAGATTTTCTTCCCAGGTTCGATACTCGTGCATGTGATTATATGATGATGACTCAGGTATCCTTGTACATGTATTTAGGTCAAATTCTTTTGGCGTCGCCCTTTGATGCTTTGCATCAATGCTTTTCTTGTTGTGTAATCTGACGTATTTAGCACACGCGCTAAAGCGTGGCCATAGCGACATTTGGAATTTACACTTGAAAATCCACATCGCTAAAAATAGCGCATTGATTACACGGTAAATTAAAGCTGTGAAAGACCCTGATTTGAATGCAGCAGATGATAAAAAGCTAGCTAATTGATAATTAAGTTACCTCAAACGTATATTTGTGTCTTATTTACAATATCCCCTGTATGTTTTGTTTGATTTACAATATTCCCTGTACGTTTTGTTTGATTTACAATATTCCCTAAACGTTATGTTTGATTTACAATTTCCCCTATATGTCCTGTTTGATTTACAATATTCCCTAAACGTTTAGTTTGATTTACAATTTCCCCTATATGTCCTGTTTGATTTACAATAATTATCTCCTATATGTCCTGTTTGATTTACAATAATTATCCCCTATACACCGTAGGGAACGTGTTACAGTATCGCGTTTTTCGGTTACAGTATAGAATTTTAAAGATGGAGGATTATTTGTTGAGAGGACAGGTAGGTAATTTTTATTCCGGTCCATACTACAAGTAGTTTAGTGTCTAAAAGATGTTTTGTGCTTTGCTTGTAAGGAACAGAATCCGGTATCTAGTCATATATTTCTTCAGACTCTGCACCGCAGATTTATCGTTATATTGTCTCAGAAATATGCAGATTTGACTGTTTGAAAATTTGAATCGAGAGACCAACGCATTTTCTCCAATTTCGACAATATTTATGCATGCCTAGAAAAAGTAAATCTGCAAAACGTTAGTCCTTTATGTTAGGAAACGTTTATAAAAGTTAATGACCAGTTGAACTTATTTTCCTGTTCGTTAAATGCGTTTTAAAAAATAAACAATGTTACAGTATAGAGCGAGGTGATTTGTGCAAGGTTACAGCATAGACCTAGCGATTTTTATCCGATTTTGTTACAGTTTATACTCAGATTTCTGTTACAGTTTAGACTTCGATATTTTCTATATATACTAGGTAAAATGTATGAATGTTACATAGACTTTTAAATCTCTGTGAGCTTATTGGCCCGGTGGCTATTCGTTCGTCTGTGTGTTCAATCTCATCCGCTCAGTAACTACTTGGCTAAATGTGATGACATTTACATGACTTTCTAACAATTAGTTGTTCAAATATATGGTTTCGCTTGCAATCGGGGATACGAAAACCCAAATTATAGATT